ACAAATGGCATGTGGACAATACAATAAAAATTCTTCTCTTTTTACAACCCTATAATCCCTTTATTCGGGATAGAGTCAGAGTGACTGGATGGAGCTAAGTATTTACTAGCCAGATGCCCTTCCTGACACCTACGTGGAGTTCACAACAGGTATTTTCTCTTTGCGAAACATTTGTCACTACCTCGGACTGAACACTCAACCTTCCGAGTGGGAGGAGAGCATCTTCTTTACTAGGTCACCATAACACTGTATGTGAACAATATAATACAGGAGATAAAATATTAAATTACAATAAAATCATAATTTGTTGTTGTTGCGAAGTCGAGTCTGATCCATCGCGACCCCATGGACAACGTTCCTCCAGGTCTTCCTGTCCTCTACCATCTAATATGGAGCCATAGAATTTCAATGGAATAGATGTTATAAGGAAGTTATCCATCTAACAGCTTCTGGTGTGGCTGTGATGAGATCATCCCAGAGCCTTGAAATTTCCTGAGGAATATATTCCTGAACTATATATGTTATTGTTTGTTCCAGTGCACCACAGGCACATTTCAGGGTTCTCAGCCATTCCCCACTTAAAAAGCTTTGCCTTAGTTCTGGCATGGCTTGTCCTAATTCTATTTTGGTTACTACAATACTGGTTAAAAGTCACAGAGTGATGCCTATTTTTAAGAAGTGCCTTATGAAGCACACCTTGTATCTTATTCATCTACTTTGAGCAGGTTAAGCCTCTGTCCAGACTGAACAATTCAAGTAAACATAAGTCAATCGAGAACTTTGAAGATAACTCTAAGCTCTTATGTTTATTTCTTTCTGTCTTAATAGTATGTGTTAAAGAAAATTATTTATTTCCTACAATATTTAATTCTGGGCTGTACCATTGTTTCTGTAGCCATTTAAAATTGATTTTATATTACCTTTATGTTTGATTTTAAATTTGTTTTTCCCATCATCATTGCAGGCTTTGAAAATGTTAAAGCCTGCATTCTTAAATTTCATCCTAAAAACAAAACAAATATCAAATCCCAGTAAATAGAACAAAACCAAACCAATTATTTGTTATGATTGGGGTTTATTTTTGAGACTTGTTACAGCTCCATGCTAAATGATTAAAAAATAAACCTAGGATCATGCCACATGGCCTCCACTATATAGAGAAATGGAGGGGTGGATTGGCCAGCTCTCCTTCCCGAATGGGATCTCCAGGGCTCTAACATTGCGTTCGAGAAGGAGAGCCAGTCACACTGCTCCTTGGCCTCCCTGAAGTCTATGTGGCACTGTCCCGGAAGCAGGTACCATTTTGGTGTAGCCACAACTCATTGCTGCCACTCCTATAAGAATGTCCACTTCCAGAATAGTGCCACATGGTGGAGAAAAGTCACATAGTAGAGCGGCTACTTCCAGAAAGAGATGTTTCGAAAAGATAAATGACCAATCCATGATGCAGGGGGAAGAGGATGTGGAACCCAGTAGGATGGGAAACAGGCCCAAGTCCTGCAAGGACTCAGTGGAATGGGAATGTTGGCCCAAAGCTTGTGATGACCCAGTGAGGCATGAAACAGAACATGGGGATGCTTCAGGGAATATGGGAGGCCTCGGGAAGCCTGAGGTAGGCCATGTTTGAGCTGGGAAGGTGCTGCAGTGCAAGCCTGGGCCAGCACTAGGCTTCCTCCACCCATGAGATATCCCATCTCCAGTTAATAACCACCTTAGGGAGAGCAGTGATGGGAATCGTTAAGAGAAGCAATTACATGAGTGCCTTGCTTAACAGCCATTGTAATAGGCAGTTTAGAACTACCTGTACTCTGCATTCAAATGGGGCATCTCAATCATTTTGAGGTGCTTTGAATTCGAAACACTCAAAACTATCAACAGAGAAATCTTGTGCAGAAAGTAGGTTTTAAAGCTCAAAACAGGGCATTCTGAATAGTTTGGAAGTTTGGAAATTTCCTGTATAACACTAGTAATCATCATCCAAAATTTATATTCATCATGCTTTAGTTTATAATTACCAAAAGCAGCTAATACACAAAACAGTTCCAAGGTAATTCACCCATAACCAGTAAAAGTTGAAGAGTACAACTGTGCTTTCCCAATCAGTAATATTTTATTTATATATTAAATTCAGTAGTAAATCACTTCTCATATTTTGCTGGTTTAAAAGGTGAATAAATTCTCCTACATATAATCCCCATGGGTCATTCTTGCAATCAAGGAACCAAGATTTCCATGATGTTTCCTTCCTGATGAATTTTATGAAAATGAATGCTAAAGTTTTTGCACCATTTTGCTAGTGTTGTCAAAAGATCTTTCTAAATAAATATTAGCACAAACAAATAATATTAGTTCTATCCTTCCCACAAGAGACCATTCTACTCATTCTATTAGTTAGTAGCTCTTGATTGCTAAATCATGCATAAAATTAATCTAATCCAAGCATACTCAAGGCTGTTTCTGGAGTACTTTTGTACTTTTTGCATGCAGCTATTTTAAGGAATGTCATTTTTTTAAGAAAAAAAATCGCATTGTCTACTTTAAAGCATGAGCACTTTTTGAAATTTCAATATTAAATTGGGGAAAATAAAAACCAACACATCCCTATCAGTCCAATATTTCAGTACATGTAACTCCATTTAAATCTATAAATTCATTCAGTCCACGTGCACCACATGCAATCCCAAGGTCAATTTGGAATTACAAAAATTACAAAAAATTGTGACTAAATGCCTACTGTTTGAAAAGAGATGCATATGAAAGCCCCTGAAATAGGCTTTTGTTGGGGAACTATGAAAAGACATCACTCTCTCATAAAATGAGAGAAGGAGGACCAATCAGTATAAGTACAGATCATCCTGAAGAAAAATCTATGTGATTGCTGAGAGATGACACCAACTGGTTTGCCCATAATCAACCAATCACATAGCAACTCAAAGAAAAACAAAATATCCTATCTCCACTTGTGCACCTAACGATCATATCATTCTCCAACTTACTGCAATTCTCGTTCTTCCAAAAATGTTAAATGTGATGCCTGCCCATTAAAAGTTTTCCCATTTCTGAACTGTATAGGATGAACGAAGTAAAGATTAATTCAATCTGGAAAATGGGATGGGGGGGAGGGTGACTTTGATCAATTTAGAGCTTAATTTTCTTTATTACCATCTGTGTACCTCCTTCAGCCTTGCAAAGGATAGTGGCTTTGCCAAATCAACTATCAATACTAATATGTTTCAACCAATTCAGAATGCATTACAGGAATGTAATTATGTACAAGATATATGAAATATAAATTAACCAGTTTATTCAATTAATCCAATTTCCTGGTTTTGTGATACAATAGATTATACAGTAACCACACTGAGTAGTGCTTGACTACATAAACCAACCACAGATTTATACAAGAATGTATAGTCAGAAACTAGCATGTCTATCCAAACTTGTCCCCATTATAGAGTAACAGTTTTCTATTTCCTTGTAAAGTTAAGTAAAATGCTGTCTTGATTTAACAATAAAACAATCTAATCTTGAGTTAAGAAAAAAAGATGGATTAGAATCTGACTTTAATGCTGTATCTCAGTTGTTGGCTTGGCTATAGCTCGGCACTATCCAGTCAAAATAGTATCAGGTTCCAAACCCCCTTGCTTTGCTGTTTTCATTCTTTTTAGAAAATGTATAGCACTTCACAAAATAGCTAATATGCAGGTATGGGATATGAATGGAAGAAACCATCTGAAAATCAGAAAAAAATGGTGTTTTATGTTATAGCATTTTATTGTGTTTTATGTTAGGCATCCTGAATATTTTGTATAAAATTGGAAGCCATTTATCTAAACAAGCATCCTTTCATGTGTCAAATACACAGAAACTTAATTACATGCTGTTACATTTCTATATCTAGGTTCAATTTTGCTCAAAATATGACTATCAAAGCTTATTACTAATTTACTGAGCAGGATGGAACTGCCCCAGTAATTTAGACAAATTCCAATTATAACTAAACAAATTCAATTTACTGAATTTCTGAGACTTTCATGAACCTCATAAAGTTACCATTAATATAATTGCATACTGGGGATCATTTCTTCACCTTAAATGTTACCCAAATATGTTGAAATCCTTTGAAGGTGGAATCTCTTATTCTACAGAGATGTACAAGCAACATTTTCCCCTTTCACCCCATGAATATAGAATTAAAAATCTTCTCCAGAAAGTCCCCCAAATCTTCTGCAACAAATATGGATGATATTTAAGCAGATCAACGAATCATTTCCAAAAGCAAATTTCAATCTATGAAGAGACATCATTTCACAAATGCAACGTTACCATGCATATGAAAATGTCCAGCAGCAGAAACGAAAATAATTCTGGAAGAAAAAAAATGTACCAACTCCAAGCACAGAACTGCAACAACTCAGGCAACTGCTGCTCAAAATGATCAGGAAAAACAACTAGTGATCTGAAAGGGCTGGGGGGGGGGGGGAATTCTCTCTCCAGGTTTTTTTATTTCGAGTCCATTAGAGCATGTTGATGTCTCCTCCTCAAATGAGCAAAAGTTGGCAACATTATTTCAACTCATGATGACTGCATATCCGTTTTAAGAGAAAATTTTGATTTTAAATTTGTATTTTGTAAATGGATACAATTTTTATGCTTTCACATGTATAGCTTTTGTATTTCACAAAGACACCTAATGCTTGTTATGTGAGTGGGCCTAATTACTTCCTTCCAGAAAGTTGACCGTCTCACACCCACAATTGGAAACCGGCCAATGTTCTGCGTTAAACGTGACAGAAGCCAGGTGGGCCGTGCATAGTGGCTGGAAAGCAGACACCCCCGCGAACCCCATTTTCCTCGAATAACGGGGGCGTACGCGATTCTTTAAACGGAGGCTCGCTTACTCTTCGCGCCGAACACATTTGCGAAGCATCGCCGAGGGTAAAAACGCTCAGTTTCGACAACGCCAGCCCGTACTCACAGCAGCCGCTGTCACTACTCACCATCCGGGAACTCGCGGTCGCTGATGTGCTGCAGGTGAGGGCCCCCTCCGCCGGGATCCGAGTCTCCCGAGTCCGCCTCGGCGATCTCCCGATAAGCACCGGCCCTCCGCTCTAGCCCCGTCGCCGCGGGCCCGGCCCCCGCTCGCCCACCGCCGCCGGCCCCCAAAGCAGACCCGCGCGCCCGGCCGAGCTTCGGGCTGGCACCGGGAGACACGCAGCAGGTGACGGTGTTGCCCATGCTGGCGCGGGACTACTGCCGGCGCCGCCTGGGCTGGGCCCGAGCGGGGCTGCAGGAGGCCGCAGCGACGGCCACATCAGCGCCGTCTCATTCTCGCTTTCGCCGCCGCCGCCGCCTCAGTGAGGCGAGCCCAGAAGCCGGAGAAGGAAGACCGGAGGCTACAGCCCCCTCTCCACCAGGCGGCTCTGCGACGGCGCTCTCACGCGGCACCCGACAACCAGCCAATCACGGGCCGCGCCTTACGCCCTCACGTGATCGCGGCGGCCGTCCCGTCCCAGGGGATAGCCCTGGTGGTGCCACCTAAAACTATGTAGCAGGGCGGGGCCGGCTGCGCTCAGCTCTCGGCGCGTCCTCTCCGAGCGTTCGAAAAGGAAGCGGGGGGGGGAAGGGAGGCGGGGCTTCGCTTCTCTGTACTCGCTGGGCGGGGTGCGCTTCCTCTGGTGAAACTCGTCTGTGCCGGCGCTGGAAGTGGAAAGGACGGCTGAGCCGATATTAGGCCGGAAACGATCCCGAATCCCAACCTTTTCGTATCTCGAGGGTGCTACTCCTTTTCCGTCCTGCTTCTTCGTGCCTGCCGATAACAACCTTGTCCCAAATAGCCCGACTTTCACACAGCTGCTGTGGGAGGGGCACGTCCGGGTACCCGCAACTGACCGATCTCGCTCGCTTAGAGCCGGCAGGTGGCAGTATCGAGCCGACCGTGCCTGCCTTCGGGAACAGATAGCGGCTATGAACCAAGCAAACGTCTCCGGGGAATCCCAGGACTGGTCTGGAAGAAGGGCGTGGCAAACCGGTTACGTAGCATTGCTAAGAGAATGACGGGATGTGGCCTCCGTGGAGTCACACTAGGAATCGAATTTTATTCCAGAGAAAGTAGGGCACGGTGCCACCAAGTAAACATAAACCATACAGTAGGCCCACCATGCACATCCCCCCCCCGTTTGTTATTACTTGACTATCCTGTGATTTTAGTAGACCTTATGGATTTTTATTGTCCTCCCCCATGAAATTAGAGTATCTTGGATTCTTTAGTGCAAAAATGTTACGGGGGGCGGGAGAAGTATGGTGATTGCTCCCTTTGCCCACTACAACAATGAAGGCCCCTAGTACTTCAATATATTTGAATTTAATATAACACAATAAGAATAACAGAGTTGGAAGGGACCTTGGAGGTCCAACCTCCTGTAGGAAGAATTTTAAGACACCCCTCCCCCCATTCCCATTCCAAAGAACCATTCGCAAAGGCTAAGACAAGCCTTGCCTCCCAGCCAAGCAGAATAGCCTCAGGCAAGTCCCCCATAACATTTTTGCCGTTCTCCTCAAATCGTAGACCCAGGCTTTTATCCAGCAGCAGCTAGCCCAGTAGGAGGCTGAATTATTCACCTTGGACCCTATCTCGTTTGAGTGATGCACTATGCTCAGTTCTGCCACCCTACTGCCCACGGAACAGTCTGATGAAACTTTGTATGACTCTCTCTACCTGATCCATGATGCTGAACTACCCCAGCCCGACCTGATTGATGTATCTTTGCAAAACCCGGATGTAAAAATAGATCATCCTATATACATGAAACTGGGCTTCCCTGCTGCCTTCCACCTATAGCACCCAAGCGGCTGAGCTTTAACAAAAGCATGCAAAGCTGCTGAGAAGCAGTCTACTAACATATATACAATTCTAGATATGTGTTGGGGTTTGCCCTACAATAGGGGCTTTGTGGAAGTAACGAGGGTTCTTAACCTCGACTAGGCATCTAATTGCCCTTGCAGCCCTGGCAGTCATCCATTGTAAAGGGACCTCCCCCAAGTCACAAAGGGGAATCAGTATGCAGATGCCACTGCAAAATGGGTCATACCCAACCCGTGCCAGTGTCAATCACCCTCCCAACCTTGAGAGTCAGCACAAGGATCCCTTACCAGGATCTCTAAGCCAGGGCTTTTCAACCAGTGGTACGGGTACCATCTGTGGTACATTGGCACCTGGCAGGTGGTACGCGACCATCCTAAAAAAATGGAAGCGGGGGAGTGGAATGAGCTGAACTGGTGGCAGCACTGCACAAGCCTGAGCGAGAGATGGCTGGAGCTGCAGGGCTGTCAGGGCTCAGCAGAAGTGCCAGGATCAATGCTAATTTCCAGCTGATCGGTGCTTCTTCGGGGCTGTCAGGGCTCAGTGGAAGCACCAGGATCAGTGCCAGGCTCCAGCTGGAGCTTGGCGCTGATCCTGGCGCTTCTGCTGAGCCCTGAAGCACCAATCAGCTGGAAAGCAGCACTGATCTTGGCGCTTCTGCTGAGCCCAGAACAAGCGCTGATCAGCTGGAATGTTGCAGCATCTTCAAGGTCTTGTGATTTACATTCAGATGCTTGGCAACTGATTCATATTTATGATGGTCACAGTGTCCCAGGGTCATGTGAATTGACCAAAACCTGCTGCAACCACCCAGCAGACGGGGGGAATAAAAACCAAATACCCCCCCACCCTGCTCTGACTTAGAGGAGAGGGCAGCAGAGGCCTGGAAAGAGATATTTGAGGCTTTATGGATTGGTTCTGGTGGATCCCAGACAGCAGACCAATAGTCCCCCCATTGACTGATATGCCAACACTGCATTCAAAGGGCCATTGCGGGACTCAGGCAATGGTAGATGCCATCAGGCGAGTCTGCTACATCCCAGGGGAATACACTGAAGCTACCTGCATAGCCAAAACTTGCCAGACATGTCAAACCAACAATGTCTCCTCCAGAAAAGCCATGCATGCAGGAGGAAGATCATGGGCACAACGCCCCTTTGAAAATTACAGTTCAATTATATCCAGCTTCCATGGGCAAATGGCTACCAATATGTTTTAGCATGTAGGGACCAGCTCACCCACTGGGTAGCTTTTCCCTGCTACCATGCCACTGCCCTTGAGACAGCACACCGCCTATTGAAAGACATTATGCCCAGGTTCAGAATGCCAAGTGTCTTGGACGTGGACCAAGGGATACACTTCATGTTGCAGATTATCACCCACATCCTTCAGGTCCTCAGGATCACCCAAAACCTCCACACACCCTGGCACCCATCGTCTGGGGGAGGGCTTGTGTAGAATTGCTAGAACAGGGAGTTCAAGATCCTACTGGGCAGGCTTTGCCAAGAGACCTACTTGTCATGGCCCCAAGCCCTTCCTATAGCATTGTTCCACTTAAGAACAAGACCGCATCGAGACCAAGGCATCTCCCCATTTGAACTCTTCTTTGGCCGACCTCTTGACACCCTTAAAGGCTTGGATCCACATTCACTGAGCCTAAAAAGAGGGGATGTGATTCTATCCTCTTATTTTGCAGCTTTACACCAGCGATTTGTGGAGGCACAGTGCTTTGATCTAGACACTACCACTGGAAGAAGCTCTCCACCCCTTCAAACCCGTAGATTGGATCTGGATAAGATCATTCACCAGGAAAACACCACTGCAGCCTAAGTGGAAGGGATCGTTTCAAATCCTGCTAACTACCCAGACTGCCGTAAAAATTGCAGAGAGAGAGATATCTGGATTCATTGGACTCACATGAAGTCAGCTGTCCTTGGCCACAGTGCAGAACCAAAAGCAGCGACTCAGGAAGGGCCCTGAAACCGAGGAGTGGGCATTACCGACTTTTTAAGTCTGTGGGAAATGATGGGAGGGATTGCAAGGGACAGGTGGAAGAACGTGATTAAAATGTATATTTGCATTTGTAACCTATGCTAGGGGATTTCTAGAACCCAACCTACTCCCTGACAAGGGAAATATTTGGGAGTACCTAGCACGAGAAGTCCTAAATACAACTGACTTCTGCCTAGTGGGGGGCAAATCTGTAAAGGACATTCTGACCACATGCCTGATGTGGGTAGCTTCGGGACCACAAGCCATACTAAACCACACCAAGCTTAGGGCTTTCTCACTCACAGCCACATACTCCACCATCTTTGACTGGGGAACCAGCATTAACCTCAAAGATGAGAGCATGTACACGCTGGGCATGGCTGAAATTACTAACACTGCAGCCTGTTTGAAAATGTCATTCTACTCTTCTAATCAGTTAGCTGGCCCGGAATACAACACTGTTGTCACTGCAGTTTTCTGGCTTCCAATATAAAAACCATCTTTCTGATAGCTTGCTTCCTGGCTTCTCATTTCATTCATCAGTGCTGATTGCATCGTCCCGGCTGGAAGGAACAAATTGGAGATTTTTTTTCCTCCTGCACCCCATCTCAAGCAGAGGACACTATACTATTTCAGACACTATACTATTTCACTATACTATTTCAGACAAATGACTGTCCAGTCTCTTCTTAAAAACCTCCAGTGATGGAGGACCTATAACTTCTGAAGGCAAGCTATTCCACTGATTAATCATTCTGTCAGGAAATTTCTCCTTATTTCTAGGTTGATTCTCTCCTTGATTGGTTTCCATGCATTGTTTCTTGTTCTGCCCTTGTGCATTCAGTTTTATTGAGTTTTTCAGCAATTGGGGAGGTGTGTTAATAATTCTATTTTCAAGAGGGGCTTCCTCTTTTGGCTTCTGCCACATATTTTTATTTTGTTAATATGAATAAAAGTGTCCTGGGTCAGGTCTTAAGCCAATTTAAGTTTCTACCATGGAAAAAATAAATTTCACTTTTAAAATTATAATACCCTAAATGTGATTTTTTTTTTTTAAAAAAAAAGGAAAGTGAGCATGAGAGAATGCATTAAAAACTTTCCTATCTCCTCTGGCTGCAGTTAAGGTGGCCATTTTTAATAACAGTGATACCAACATGCAGTGATGTATATGTTATTTCATCGTGATGCAAGTTCTGTCCTTTTAGCATCAGAATACAGTATGTGAAAATACTAATGGAAAGAATTTGCATCTTAATGTAAGTTTCATCACCTCCCCCTCCTTTCAGACACCCAGTTAGTTCATAGTTCATATTATTGATTATGCTTTTCAAACCCAGAATAGCCATTGTCTCTAGTTAGCATTAAAAGGGAGTGTGAAAAGAACGAATACTGATTTCAAAATGCAGTTTAGGAATGGCTGAAAATGGCAGCTATGCTGGTTTTGGGATGGAGGTAAGTAGATAATATTAACTAGCCAGATTAGTTTAAGGTATTCTACAAATTGTGCTTACATCTTGATACTTAACAAATCACTTTAGCATGTGTTAATTGATGAAAGTTTGTGAAATGGGCACATATATATGCAAGAATTCCAAATTAGATTTAATTTCTAGCAAACCTGAACTGTAGAATTTGGCAGCAATACATGAACAAATATCTGTGGTTTATTATGACTTGCACAAGAGACCAGCTTTTAGAAACTGATGTGATTTATGGAATCCTAACCATAGCTTGGGATCCATTTTGGTGTAGGCCAGAAACTGGGGGATTGTGAGTTCTAGTCCTGCCTTGGGCACAATGCTAGCTGTGTGATTTTGGCCTCTCTCAGCCCTAGGAAGGAGGCAATGACAAATTAGGTCTTTGCCAAAAAAACTGCAGGGATTTGTCTAGACCAGGGGTAGGCAACCTTGGCTCTTTTACGACTCATGGACTTCATGCTGGCTCAGGAATTCTGGGAGTTGAAGTCCATGAGTCGTAAAAGCCAAGGATGCCTACCCCTGGTCTAGATTCTAGAAGGGTTACAAGCCTGGGCTACAAGGCTAAATATTACGTTTGTTCTCAACGCAAACCGAAAGAAAGACTGAAGCCACAGTACGCCGACCAGTGATGGATATTGTCGCTGCAATGTTAATATAGTAGAGGAGGTTGTATTCATAGAGATAGAAACAATCTAGAAATACCTTTTACCATTTGATTAATGATCCATTGAATTAGTTTCCATCTTCCGAAGCAAATTACATTCTCTAAATCTTAGGTCAGGTTGTATAACAGCAGCATCCGGTGTCCATAACGTTGTCTGAGTGTTCTTCATATTTTTATGGGACATGCGCGTTCCTACATTTTTTTCTCTTCGTATCTCTATAGCCGTCCTCCCCTTGGCTAGCTTCTCTGTGGAGCTTCGGTGCTCACGTGCCCGGGACGAGTGGAAGATCTTCGTAGAGCCAGCGTTGCGTGAGGAAGGGATGAGGAAGGGTGGGGGGAGGGTTGCCTCCCTAGGGTTAGCAGCATCTACAGGTTGCCGGGGGGGGGGGGAAAGGGAGAGGAGAACTTTGCAGGGAAACAGCAAGAGAAAGGGAAATCAATCGGGGGTTGCAAGCCTAGGCGATTTCTTGACTGATAGTTATGGCAGTCTGAGCCGGAGTTCACGTTTTGCCCTAAACCACGGTGTCTTGCATAAACCACAATTAGGGGATTTCCAATACCAGGTCATAATGCCTAATTTGCAAATTACAATTAGAGGTTAATGCAACGCACCAAGCCAAATAAAACAAATTTAATAGAGACTTACTGCAGAAGTTTGAAGGTATCTCGACTCCGCTTGAACCACCTCGACTCTTCTGTATTTCAGGACTTGGCCGTCCGTGACGTTTTCTCTTTCCAGAGCGCACCAGGCAAGTCTGCTTTATTATACTTTCAGTGCAAAGCACATAAGTTTCGTTCTAAAAGTCCTTTGACTATAATAGTATATTGACTTTTTACATGTTTATGCTATCTGTTTCCGTTTTCGGAGCTTTTGTTGTTTTGTGTGGATTGTATTTTAAATATTGTTTTAATTTTTAAATTTTTTTACATTTTAAAAGGACTAAATCACGCTTTTGAGTGCTGTCATGACAAATTGTTTTCAAAGGCATAATACAGTTCTTAAAATGCATACATTTGATTGTGTGCAAAATTACAGGATGTTCTTTTGGAGTATAAATCTTAAAAAGAATCTGCTTCAATCTTATTAACTGCATGTCTGAAGAATTTATGTTCTGGTCCCAGGACTAGGATCCCAGACTGGTTAACAGCCTCTGATTTGTTTGTAATGTGGATTCATAAAGTTACACAAATACAGGTAGTCCTTGACTTTCAACAATTCATTTAGTGACTGTTCAAAGTTATTATGACACTAAAAACCATGACTTATGACCATTTTTCATACTTATAACCTTTGTAGCATCCCATGATCATGTGATCAAAATTCAGATGCTTGGCAATTGATTCATATTATGACCATTGCTATTTCCCAAGGTCACATGATCACCTTTTGCAACCTTTTGACAAGCAAAATCTATGGGGAAGCCAGCTTCACTTAACAACCATGTTACCAACTTATCAACTGCAATGATTCACTTAACAACTGTGGCAGGAAAGGTTGTAAAATGGGGCAAAATGCACTTAATAAATGTCTCACTTAACAAAAGAAAATTTGGACTCAATTGTAGTCATAGGTTGAAGACAACCTGTATTATGGTTCTTTTATATTATTGAATCCTTAATATGCTTCATTTTATCCCTTTGGCATTAATAAGTATAGCAGTTAAAATTGATTGAATGATGAAAACCATATCTCAATAAGCAGATCTATATCTTTAAACTTAAGAAGAATTTTACGAGTTGCATCTTCTATTATTGAAATATGGCCAAATAAGGAAAGTTGGCTGCACTTTTCTTGCAGAACAAAAGCTGTGAGAAAACTTGATAGCTGGTATTTGCATGACACCCTTGCCTATGGTTAACCAAGCCATAACTAATTCGGTTTTCCAAACGCTCTATGTTCCTTAGATCAGGGCTTTTCAACCTTTTCACCCATTGTACCACTTTTAGGATATGGCAACATCCGAGTACCACCAGTCACTTAGCAAGGTGTCAAAAACTTGATGATCAAAAAAAAGAAAAGAAAAGAAAAGAAAAAAGTGATAAAATACAGGTAGTCCTCAACTTACAACAGTTCGCTTAGTGACTGTTAGAAGTTACAGTGGCACTGAAAAAAGTCCCCCCCCAAGCCACAGCTGAGCAAGACACCTGCCTGCCCACCTGGCGGTACTCTTCCTCCTGTCTGAGGTTTTCATTGTTGTGAGCATTTCTGTTGAAGATTGGCAGCAGGGGTGGGGGATGTTTGGTTTTTATTCCCCCTGTCTGCTGGATGGTTGCAGCAGATTTTGGTCACTTCATATGACCCTGGGACCCCATGACCATCATAAATATGAATCAGTTGCCAAGCATCTGAATGTAAATCACAAGACCTTGGAGATGCTGCAACATTCCAGCTAATCGGCGCTTCTTCTGGGCTCAGCAGAATTGCCAGGATCAGTGCTGCTTTCCAGCTGATTGGTGCTTCTTCAGGGCTCAGCAGAAGCACCACGATCAGCACCGAGCTCCAGCTGGAGCCTGGCGGTGATCCTGGCACTTCCACTGAGCCCTGACAGCCCTGTAGCTCCAGCCATCTCTCGCTCAGGCTTGTGCGGTGCTGCCACTGGTTCAGCTCATTCCTCTCCCCCGTTACCACTTTTCTAGGGTGGTTGCATACCACCTGCCAGGTGCCAATGTACCACAGGTGGTACCCGTACCACTGGTTGAAAAGCCCTGCCTTAGATACATCAAACCATAAAAGTAGTCACATGGGCTAGGTTTACCCAGAATCCTAAGTAGAATATTAATTTTTGGTCCAGGTGTCATGGGGGAGATAGCTGTAGATTGCTCATAGATGCCTTAAGATTCCCTGTTGCTTTCTGTCCTTTGTGTTACCTGAATGGGAATATTGGATGATCCCTACATGTTTTCTTTTTTCTTTCCATCTTATTATTCTAGGGAAGAAGTGGGGATTCTAAGCCAGCATCAGTTGTGGAATGAATGGTAGAGAGGCGGCTGGAATGTAAGGTTCAGCTATACTTATCCCTGTTTGGCAGAGTTTAGGATAGAGTCATCCACCCTTTGAAGGATCAGGTATGCACTGTTTGAGTGTTCCTGGAAATTCACTGGCAATGGTAATTGGGAGCACTTTCTCTAAATCTGGCTGGTTTGCTAGCTGTGATTTTTCACTCATGCTAGTTGCACTTTGATAAGATGTTTTCTTCTTCCCTTATTAAATCATTCATTTGAAGGTATTGTTGATGGTTTCATGTATCTTTCTTTTTTATAAAATAAAAATAAATGAGAAATGAGAAAATAACATGCCTGACAAGGCAAGCTAAAGGGAGCAAACCTCACTCCCTTCTAACATTAAAGGTGTTACCTACTCTGATAACAAAATGTCTGCAAGCAAACAACCAAGCTCAGAGAACATCAAGGATTCCATAATTGGAGTAAATGTCAAATGGTTCCCATTTTCTTTATATTTTTTTCATTTGTATTTATTTTATGAGGCTTATATGCCACTCCAGCCATCAATTGACTCTTGAGTAGCTAACAATCCTATCTTGCATTAAAATATGTTAGAATAAGAAATCATATCTCCATAGAGTTATGTGTTCTTACACAGGAAAATCTCTCTCAAGTAATGAACCCTTCAGAGCACTGTTAAAGTAACTAAATTTTAATGGTTTCCTAAATCTCAATAAGGTCAAGGTATGTTGAATCTTCAGGGGGATGCTGCTGTAGAAAAGTGGGCAGCAATCAAGATGGACCAACTCTTGGAAATCTGTAAATAACATTCTTTAAGAGAGGCAACCTGGAAACAGGAGATCCCCTAGATATCCATGTTCTGCGTCATGAAGGGCTTTAAAGATGTCAGCTACAACTTGAATTGTGCCCAGAAGCTAATTGATAATTAGTTAGCATTCTTGCAGCGGTGACATTAAATGGATATACCCATAACTGCTGGAGCTGCTGCATGCTCAACGACTTTAGCTTCTGAATGCTTTTTAAGGGCAGCACCATGTAGGGTCCAAATTTATGCATATATTTAATGATTTAATGTTCATGTTTGATTGCATGATTGGATTAATAAAATGTACATTCTTTAGAATATGAAAACTAGTCAACAGTTGAACATAATATCCACAACATGAGAGTACATATCAATAAGCATATTTGGACAATTGCCATAAATTATTACCTTTACTGTATACTGTATATTTTTATTGGCCTTGTTCTCATCACTAGGAAGTTCAATTTTCAGTGTACAGTTGTTTTTTTGTCTCCCTAATGGAATGAATCTGAACTAAAATTGAGTAATAATGACATAAAGGACAGAATAAAACTTTATTCTTGTGAATGGGTTTTTCCATGGGATGTTTTTCAATTCTGTATCTTTCCTTGGTTTGATAGGCAAAAAGATGGCTTTGGTTCCTTATGACAGCACGGCTCTTTGGGGAATGCAGAAGTTACATAAATCTTCCTCTACATTCTGTTTTGCCAACCATACAATTCACATTAAGCAGAATTGGATGCAGTTGGGTGTAGCCGCTGTGGTGTGGGATGCGGTGCGTATAATTTGCATTGATTCATTTGTGGAGAGTTGTAATGGTTCACTAAGGAGGTCTGAAGAAACTGGGCAGGGCCTTTTAGCAACTGAATTAATATTTCTGTCCTCTCTGTGGCCATAATGTTTATTGCATTCAACAAAAGCAAAAGTGACAAAATTCTAAAATGATATATCCTGCTTAACTGAAGCAGGGAGATGCTTTGGAGAACTTTCTTGTTTATTTTTCACCTAAGAGTCAAGCCAGGAGTTGATACTTTCTAGGAAAGAGATGTCAGTTATACAGGGAGAGAAATAGGTAACAGATTTGAACTGCCAGGATTAGGGATAATAAGAGAGAATTTGTATTTAACCACCATGGCAGATGGCAATTATCTGCTTTATATGGCTTCTTCCTAGTGGGCAATCCAGTTCTTATCTAACCTTATAATATTGTGTGTCTGAGAGACTCTGGCTGAGTGGTTCATCCCAAGTTTTTTGCTAAGGAACTTGACATTCTCCTAATTAGCTAGATTATAACTCCCATCCTGCCCCAAAATGGAAAAGCATCAAAACGAGGAAGGGTAGTGTAGATTTTCCATTCCTTCCTAACATGATTATCTCTTGTTTCTTTCCATCCCATCCATAATTTCCACCGGCAACATTTTTTGACAGGATGGTAATGTAATCCTGTGTATATCCAGAATATTGTGAACCACCACCTACTTCTGGAAGGCTACTGAACCATCCTAGGAATGCCTGCAATCTGCACAATAAAAGGTTCTGAAAAATACTAGTATGTAACTGTTCATGGAATGATAGATTTCGCACATTCCTAATTGAGATTCCTGTTGTTTTTCCTCACTGGAATTGGTGCTTAGATTAAAAAGCCTTTCTCTAACATGGAGCCGACTCTGTTTCTATCTCATTTTCAGCCAGCAATCACCAATAGCTGAGGTCAACAACAGACCCTGTAACTTGCCCCCAAATATCTTCTTTCAGATAGACACAGGGAAACTGTGAGTTTTAGTCCTGTGACATTGAGCCAGTCACACACACTCAGCCCACTCACCTTACACAGTTGTTGTTGTGGGAAAAATAGGAGGAGGAAGGAGCATTAGGTATGTTTCCTGTTTTGAGTTATTTCAAAATAAATAAAACAAGAAAAAGATGCTTTATTAAAAATAGTAAAATATTTAGGCAAAGAAGCTTAAGTTATCTATCTCCTTAAATATAATTTAATTATGATGATACAAAAGATGGCTCTCCAAGAGATACTGTAGTTTACTTTGTGGTGGCTAGTAGTCCATTAAGGTTTCTTTCATAGTTCTCAGTTTGTCATCTGCTTAACTTGTCATAATAACATCGTTACAGAAATTGACAATTTTCTAACAACTGTATCATCCAGTGTTGATGCTTGGCTAATAAGTGTCAATATTTTCTATTGCTCAAACATAGTTCTCTAAAGATTGAAAATAATAAAGATACAGTATATATTTACTAGAATTTCTATGCTGTTATAGGGGCTTTTTTCCTATTAATGGATTTAGGATTGCAACCTTACGGAATATTCTCATTTATATTCTTGCTGCCTTGCTAAAATTATTTATTTGGGTATGAAAGAAAATGATAAAACTGGTATCAGTGCTTTCTGAGCACTGAATTGTTTGGTCTTCAAAGATATCCATTTAAAAAGAGATCAGGTAGAACTGTACTAAGGATAACTTTTGGTCACTTTGGAAATTTTTAAAAATATCCCTTACATATCACTATAATTTTAACATAAGATAGCCTTTATTGTTACTTTTTTCTGTGAATACACTGGCACACATTAAAAAAATGAAATTCTGATGCCCGCTCTCAAATATACAATATACATATACCCACCCACCCACACATACGCATACACACACAAACATATAAACATATACATAAATTCATATACATACATACATACATATAATATATATATAATATCACAGACCATTTAGAGTACATAGCAGAAAAAAAGAGTCTTGAGAGTTAACAAGGTTGATACTATATGGTACAAAGCTATTACAGAATCTAGTTGTTCTACTTCAGATACTGCAAAGCCTCCTCCCAGAAGATAACTTAAGAAAATGAGTCATGGAGAGGATGTATAGCGTCCCTGATAATACTGTGGACCCTGGTCAAGCATCGCTTATATGCTATGTCCTGGATAAAAGGAAATGAACTTCCAATAATCTTTTCTGCCGTCCTCGTCACTCTCTGCACAGCCTTCCTGTCCGAAACAGTAATGCCTCCAAACCACACAGTAATACAATACGACAGAATGTTTTCAATTGTCCCGCTAGAAAGTAGTAATGATAAGGAAAGGAAGATTATTTTTTTGTATAAATCCACCCTTTCCTGAAGAAAACTTGCTTGAATAACCCAAGCCTCCAATATATGCTTATACTTAATCATGCTCTGTCAAAATGTAATAAGGAAGTCAGGTCATTTGCACTTTTTACTTACCTCAGTGCAAGAGCACACTACTTACTACAGGTAGCCTTTGACTTATGACCACAACTGGGACTGGAACTCCATCACTAAGTGATGTAGGCATTAAATAAGTTGTGTCTAATTTATGACCTTTTTTTGCCTCAGTCGTTAAGTGAATCTTATTTTCCTCTTTAACTTTGTTTGTTGGACGCTTTCTTGGAAGGTCACAAATAACCATCATGTTACTCCCAGGATGCTGCAACCACTGTAAATACATGCCATTTGTCAAGTGCCCAAATTTTGATCACGTGGCTGCAGGAAAGTGAGGGCCAGCGGTAACTCACATTTTTGAGCACCACCGTGACTTGGAACAATTGTTCAATAAGTTGGTCATAAGTCAAGGACTATCTGTACGCCAGGAGCACAGGAATAGATGACAATACCCTTAGCCCTCCCCTTACCCACTGGGAAGGTGACTTCTGCCTGTGTTCTCATTTCAGTTGGGCTGTTCCTACCTTTCACTCTTCAAAAATAAAAACTAGATACCAGTATGCATATTTAAAAGCTCCAAAAGAAAGACTTTCCCTTGGTGACTTGAAAATGACATCTTTTTCTTAAAACATTTTTACAGACTTCTTATATGGGTAACAGGTGCTTTTTTCTGACTGGACCTGTATCAGAATTTTTTTTTCTCCTGATCTAGGCGGTAGTTTTGTGCACTTTCCTGGAGACGGGAGGCATTGATCTGCAGGGACGCAGGGTGATTGAGTTAGGAGCTGGGACAGGCCTCCTTGGAATTGTAGCTGTGTTACTTGGTAAGTTACTCTGGAAACTGGAGCCACTGTAGGCTAGCAGTTCATTTTGGCATCTAACAGGGGTCTCAAATGGTATACTTTCCTTTTAGCTTTCCTAATATTAATGGAACATGAAGGATAAGCACATTCGTTTAGAATATTGCTTAACTTTATCAGTTTTTTCAGCAGATTTATTCTAATAAGGATTGTCTTTGCAGTACTCCATGTTTCATATCTAGTAGAAAAGATTTCTGTCATCAGCTTTTGTAAACTCCAACAATAAATCTAGTTTTTAATTAAAAAGAATCTCTTTGAAGAAGGTTGGAATAATTAAATCTTTCATAACTTTGTCCGTGTCAGTTTAAAATGTATGCCTAGAACAGGGGTAGGCAACCCAAAACACTCAAAGAGCCACTTGGACTCGTTTCCCACAGGGAAAAAAAACAAAACACTGGGAGCCGCAAAACCCTTTTGAGATCTAAAATGAAGATATCCTTTTTTACCTTTTATATATATATATATATATATATATATATATATATATATATATATATGTATGTATGTATGTATGTATGTATGTATGTATGTATGTATGTATGTATATGTTTGTGTGTGTGTGTGTGCGTGTATGTGTATATGTGTATATATATAAAAATAAAGGTAAAAAAGGATATATGCAGTGTTATCTTCATTTTAGATGTCAGAAGGGTCTCTCTCTCTCTCTCCTCTCTCTCTCTTTCCTCTCCCCCTTTCCTCTTTTTACCTTTCCTCTTTCACTCTTTCCTCTCCCCCTCTTTCTCTTTCCTTTCCCTTTCTCTTTCCTTTCTCTTTCTTCTCTTTCTCTTCTCTTTCCTCTTTCCTCTTTCAATCTTTTTTCTCTTCCCTCTTTTTCTTTTTCCTCTCCCCTTTCTTTCCTTTCTTCTCCCTTTTTCTTTCCCTTTCCTCTTTTTTCCTCTCCCCCTTTCCTCCCTTTCTCTCCCTTTCTTTCTTTCTTTCTTTCTTTCTTTCTTTCTTTCTTTCTTTCTTTCTTTCTTTCTTTCTTTCTTTCCTTTCTCTCCTCTCTCTTTCTCCTTCCCAATTTCCTCTTTTTCTCTTTCCTCTTTCTTTCCTTTATCTTTCTCTCTCTCCCTCTCCTCTCTCTTTCTCTGTCTTTCTTTCCTCTCTTTCTCTTTCCTCTTTCTCGGGCGAGGAGGGGGAGCAGGACGGGAGGCAGCAGCTCCGGCGGCAGCGGCCACTGCTGCATCGTCAGGGTTCCCGCCGCTGCCTGGCCCAGCCGCTGCCTCACCACGTCCTCAGCCGAACGGGCGGGGAGGGGGAGCAGGATGGGAGACAGCGGCGGAGGCAACGGCACAGCAGCATCGTCGTGGTTCCTTGCCGCCGCCCTCAGCCCGGCCGCTGCCCCCGCCGGGACTCTGCGCTGCTCGCCCTCTGCCCATCGATGGAGCCGTGATGGAGGCAGCGCCCACCTGAGCTGCCTGAGGGGGAGCAGGAAGAAGGAAAGGAGGGCGAGGAAGCAGCCGCCCCAGCCAGGACTCCGCACTGCCCGGCCTTGCCCTCCGTCCATCGATGGAGCTGCAGTGGGGAGTGGTGCCGCATGGCCCGCCAGCCCCTCCGAAAGCCCAACTGCTCCCCCCAGGTACCCCTCTTGCTCCGGCACTTGCCCGAGCCGCCCAGGGGGCACCAAGAGGAAGGAGAGGAGGGCAAGGAAACTGCCGCCCCAGCCAGGACTCTGCGCTGCCCGGCCTCGCCCTCTGCCCCTCCGATGGAGCCGTGGGGGGGGCTGGTGCTGCACGGCCCCTGCCAGCCCCTCTGCCAGCCCGGCTGCTCCCCCCCAGGCACCCCTCTTGCCCCGGTGCCTGCTTGAGCTGCCTGGGGGGTAGCAGGAGGAAGAAGGGGAGGAGAAAGAGGAGAGCAAGGAAGCCGCCACCAGCGCTGGGCCCCAGGAGGTGGCTCTCCTCTCCTACCTTGGCTGCATCTCCTTCTTCCCAGCAGCCTGGACTCTGGTGCGCCTTCTCGGCCAGTGGGTCCAATGGTCGGGCTGGCTGGGGATTGCAGGAGTTGGTCTCCCTTGGGCCATGGCTTGCGGGAGGGCTGGCCCGCTCAGCCGAGCCTCCAGTGGGCCGCTCCCAGCAGGGATCCCGGGGCTTCCCCGGGCAGCTCCACGGCCACGAGGCCCTGGCCATGCTTCTCCCAGGGGGTGGAGCCCCCAGGTGCAGGGCCAATCAGGAGCCCTGCAGGAGAAAAGTCCGCCTGAGAGAGAGAAGGGAAGCGAAATCTCTCTGCAAATGGCGGAGGAGGCTCCGGAGCCACAGGTGATGGCTCAAAGAGCCGCGGGTTGCCGACCCGTGGCCTAGAACAATCTTCACCATCTGGTACCTTCCAGAAGTTTGGTCTTTTAATTCCCCCAAATTCCATACCCAGCATGACCATTGTTCAGAATACTGGAGATGGAAGTCCCCACAACTGATTATTGCCCAGGGTGGAAAAGCTAGCAAGAATAATTGCTTTATAGTTTAACATCATAGCATTGGTTAAATAAAATTTTCTTCATGAAGGATATCATCGTCCATTTCCTTATGTTTTATGTAAAAGTATTAATTAAATTGGCACAGCAATTGAATGAGCCAGGGAGAAAAATATACAGGGACTTCCGTTTTCTTTGAATATTAGATCATTTAGTTGTGGATAGTTTGGGGTACATATGTTATCCGTATGTTTATTTTATGCATAGGAATTTTTCTTATTTCTTTCCCCTAAATCTGCTCTGTAAAAGATTTAATTCATTTCATATTTAACTCTTCTTAGGTGCTCAAGTTACAATCACAGACCGAAAGCCAACATTACCCTTACTTGAGTCAAATGTGCAAACTAATTTACCTGTCAACCTTCAGTCAAGAGCAGCAATAAAGGAACTTACCTGGGGACAACATTTGGCAGACTTTTCTCCAGGAGAATATGATATTATCTTGGGCGCAGACATAGTTTATCTGGAAGAAACATTTGCAGATCTTCTTCAAACATTGGATTATCTCTGCTCTGATGAGACTGTGATCCTGCTATCATGCCGCCTCCGTTATGAGCGGGACCAGAATTTCCTGAAGATGCTTAGAGAACATTTTACAGTCCATGAAGTGCTCTATGACTCTGCTAATGATGTGTATATATTTAGAGCCCAGAGATATGTCCTGTGATAGGTCTGATCATGAATTCTTGTCAGCTCATGTCTTCTCTTTCCTTTTCCTTGCCCCAATATTGGATCAAAAACTTCCATGCAGCATCTCCCTCCCTCCCTCTCCCTCTCCCTCTCTGTTGCAATGGAAGTACTTTATGAGTATAATGTGAAACTAATGTATTTTTTGTTTCCTTATTTGGAATTAATTGAGTTTCCTATAAGGACTTCTTGATTTACTCATTGTTAAAGTAAAAATTAAATCAGGTGAGCCATCAAAGGATAGCAATCTGTCAATTATTTTTGAAGAAATAACTGAAAAACTGTATATGGTCGTAAGATTGATGGGCTAATTGCCCATACAATTCTCTTTAAGTCAGCTGGCCGATGAATGTAACTTCCTCATAAATACAGGCAAAAGCAAAAGGAAACATACATTTGAAAGAAGAAAAAAATTGTTTCAGAAAAAAGGCTTGGGATAAGGATGGGGCTTCCTTGGATGAGTGACATGGGTTATCAAAGAGAGATGTATAGGTAGTCCATAGCATATGACCAGTCACTTGACCACCAAAGTTAATAATGTACTTATGACCTGTCCATGCAGTTATCACTCCCGGTCATGTGATTGTATTTTAGGTGTTTGGCAACTGGCTTGCATTTATGACCAGTAGCAGCATCCCATGGCCATGTGATAGCATTTTGTGATTTATTTATTTTTTTGCTGCTTTCCAACAAAAAAATGACCAAACTGGGTTTGGACTTACAACTACATGATTCACTGGATAGCCATTTGTCTGAAATAGTATAGGGTTTCCTGCCTGAGCAGGGGGTTAGACTAGATGACCTCCAAGGTCCCTTCCAACTTTATTATTACTTAATGTCATGATTTGCTTAATGACTGTTGTAAAAAGCTGTGATCTACAGCTTGCATAACTATAGCCATTTTTTAGAATTGCTTTTCACATTACATCTCTTCAAACATTTTCACCATGTTATACTTGTGAAGTTGGAAACAGTTTCATTTTCACAAAGAGCATAAAATACATACTTGCAAAAATATCTTAGCTTAGTTGTGCTTCCAGTTAATTGTGCTCACAATTCCTTCACCTTTCTGTCCAAGGTTTTCTGGTTTCCAGGGACTTTTTCAAAGTGTTCTGGCAGGGTTGTTCGTTCCCACAAGGATCAAGAGGAAAAGACAGTTGTTGATGAGGTTGAATATTCTTGGTAATTAAGTCATTAAGGCAAGTCCTAATCTTTAGAAACCACATTTGCAGTCAATAAATGTAAGCAAAGAAGTGAGTACCGGAGCCAACTTTGTCCAGCTAAGACAAAGTCTGTGGTGCATTGCCAAGATTAAACTACTTGATTAGATCTGTAATTTCATTATTTGTCACTTGGGGCCATGAGATATGATGGCTTAAGCCATCTCTGTTTGAAAAGCAGGTGTCTGCTCATAGAGTTTTAAAATGGTCCACCAGACAGCAACCAATGTTTAATAAGGCTAAGGTGGGCAGGCAGAAAGGTAAAGGGAGTTGCTATTTGTTTTTCTACGCATGCCACTCTAATTAATTGTTGCCAAGTTTCCCTGAGTGACTGCTATTTGGGTACCAAATTCGATTTGTCTATCATCTTTTCATGGGGAGTGGACTGGAGTGTGGAGAAGCATCATTGCTGCCTCCATTGAAGTAGATTAATTAGTATATGGTTTCTTATACATGGTTTTATACAAATGTATACAGTATAGCTGCCCATTTACGTAAGATATTCTGGAAAGTAAACAGAAATAAAACATAAGCAAAATATACAAATTCAGTTCAAAACAAACTGGACTGGGACTATGAATATTATCAAAATAATAAATTAGAAGTTGTAACAGAATCACTGCTCAGTGCTGTCTGTATGTAACAGCTAAAGCTCTGCAGTGGAATTTGGACTGGACAAATGTGCCACCCTTCAAGCTGACAACTTCAAGAACAAAGAAGTGATGAGGAAGGTTAGAAGTGAATATATCATCAGAGTAAAGAAGTCCAAACTCAGTGGAGGAAAAGCTCTAGTAGTTAAGGCAAAAGGCTAGAAAGTGGGAGACCATGAGTTCAAGTCCCACCTTAGTCATGAAAGCCAGCTGGGTTGTTTTGGGCCATTTACTCTCAGCTCAACCCACTTCACAGCGTTGTTATGGGGAAACAAGAGGAGGAAGATGTGTTGGATATGTTCACCACATTGAGTTAGTTGTAAAATGTAATAAAGATGAGGTACAAACAAATAAATAAGGCAATTAACACCTGGGCAATTCCAGTCATTAGATACATTGCTGAAATAATGGACCGCACTCAAGTAGAACTAAAAGTCTGGATAGGAAAACCAGAAAAATTACAACAAATTATGTCCTTCATCCACCCTGTGACATCGACAGACTCTACTTACCAAGGAAAATAGGTGAGCATGGAATGTTGCAAGTACACCAGATAATTGAAGAAGAAAAAAAAGGACACTGGAAGAATATCTGAAGGATATGAAGAAGATGCATTGAAGCTAATATACCAGGAAGTCTTACTATTAGTGAAACCAAACTAGCTTGCAAGAAAGACCAAATAAAGAATAGAAAAGGAGACATGACAAGGCAAAGCATTACATGGCCAGTACAGTTAAACAAACGAACAAGCAATGCAGATAACAAGATCTGGTAATGGCTAAGAGCAGGAAAATCGAAGAAAGAGATAGAGGAGGCTGATTCTGGCTACACGAGACCAAGCCTTAATTAAGAATATATATGTGCAAAACCAGGATTAAGAAGATAGCAAGAGAACAAATGCCATCTCTGCAGAGAAGTTGAAGAAATAGTGGACCGCCTAGTTAACTGCTGCAAGTAGATCACACAGACTGCTTACAAACAATGGCATGACAAAATAGCAACAATGATGCATTGGAATATCTGCAAGAAATGCAATCTGCCTGCAAACAAGAACTGGTGAGACCATAAATTAGACAGAATAATAGAAAATGAAGAAGCTAAAGTGCTTTGGAACTTTAGAATTCAAACAGCCAGGCATCTACCACATAACACGCCAGACTAAAGAAACGTTTATGAAAGACAAAAAGATCTGGATAATGAATGGAGCAGCATCTGGAGACAGCAAGATAGAAGAGAAAGAACTGGAGAAAATCACAAATACCTCTAGAACAGGGGAGTCAAACTTGCAATGTCACGTGATGTATCGCGACTTTTTTTCCATTGCTGGCATGGGGTGGTGCGGTTTCGGCATGATGCATCTGGTCCGTGGGCCGGCAGTTTGACACTCCTGCTCTAGAACAACTACAGCAAAAGAAAGCAATGATAATACCAACTGTAATAGGTCCCTTGGGTGCAATCCCAAAACATTTGGAGCACTACTTGAACTTCATTGGCACTGACAGAATCACCATCAATTGCAGAAGACAGCTTTACCTGGAACAGCTTTGACATCCTCCAGCAAAAATATCTGCCTATCCCAAGTTCTTAGGAAGGACTCGATAGGTGGATAAAAATGCCAAATCCAATTTAAACTATGCAATGAACCATAATAACACAAGTGCCATACCAAAACATCTTGGGCAATACTTACAAAATCTGCACATTGACAAAATTTCCATCTGTCAATTGCAAAAGGCACATTGCTTGTGTCTGCACAATACGTTACAACTTCCTAGGTTCTTGGGAAAAACTTGATGCACGTGAAGCCAACACCAACTAAACAACTGGCAGTTGTGACTCCAGATTGCCAGAAAATAATAATAATTTACGATATAATTTATAAGGAATGAAACTACTCCATCAGCTCAACTGATATTCCTGCCCAAGTCTGGGGAAAGAGCCAGGTCTTCACATCTCTTTGAAACTTCTCCATGAGAGAGTACCATGACCAGCAAGACATACTTTCTGGGTCCCACAAGGTGACATTGCCTCATGGATGGGTTCTGGAGCAGGTCCACTCAGTCTCATCTAGTGGGATAGGCAGAAAAACTATTGGAGATAGGCAGTCTTGCAAAAATCCTGGTTTCCTGCATGCAGGCCTTTAAAGGTACAATTTGCATCTTCAACCGTATTGCTATAGTCCAGTTAGGAAGTGACTTAAGGCATGAGAGGTATGAAGTAGTGCTTCTTGATTTGGAAATAGGCACAACTATAGTGCACAACATATAATTGTGCAAATGCCCTCCTGGATAATTGTCCCTGCTCCCCAAGTATATGCTGTGAATCTAGAACTTTCAGACTGTGCATTAACTCTACCCTTGGGAGCAGGACCTTACTCAAGAGATATCCTTAGAAAATCACTGGATACTGGGACTCTAAACCCTATACTCACTTAGTTTTGTCAGGGCTGAACCAAAGCTGATTCTTTCCCTACCAGACCTGCACAGCATTAATAAAGCACTTCTGTGGCATCGCAGATGATTTTGGCTTATCTAGCACTCCATTTGTAAAGACTTTTGAGCAGCTTACATATAATATGAATGTATTGTCCAAAAAACTATTTTGAGAATGTGGATCTTAAAATCAAATTGCTCTTTTGTGGGATAATAAGCACATTTCTCCAATCTTAAGGACTCCATATGCAGAGGTATTACTTGCACGCAGGGGATTATGGGGTTCATTCTAGAAGGCAAACGTATTTTGAACTGAAATTCAGAGTCCTTTCATAGCACCAAAACACTTAAAAACTGATGAAATATTGTTTTGGGACTGCCTATTTCATAATAAAGATCTATCCAGTGCACAATTTCATGGATTTTTATATTTAGCACAGCACCTTATATTTGTATATTCTAGGTAGACATGGATTCAGTTTTTTGAGCATCCCATAATAATTGTATTATTTTGATTAGAAACATTGTTATTTTTCTTGTGTAATAGAAACAATAAAGATATGGTCCAGACCAAGGGTGTACAAATTCCAACAGGCTGAGATCATATATTTTTGAGGGCTATTATATTACATTTTAAAAAAGCTAAAGAGACATATTCATATGGACTAAAGCTCATGCATACACACATACACATATAATATGCACATACATGCACTCAAAATCTATGCACATTCAAACGAGCGTGGCAAGGAGTCAAAGGGAAGGAAGTGAAATTTGCCGTGGAAAGGATGGTGGGTGCAAGAAAGGATAGCAGCGTGGCAGGGAAAGAACAGGGTGGAAAATCAAGTTAGCGAAAGAAGAAGATAAGAGAGTTAAAAGATGCAATTATGAAATAGCCGAATATGAGCCAAATGTTTGGAGCTCTGCACATAATCTGTGCCAATTGCATTCCTGCTTGAAGAAATACATGCTTAATCTTTTTATATTTTAGTTTCAACTGACTAGTTGACAAACATAGGGGAAGTGATTCCATTTAAATATATTATCCCATCTGAAAAAAGAGACTTCAAAAAGATTTTAAAAGCAGGTTTATGTATCTGCACATAGATGTGTAAAAAGGGTTTTATGACAGTTTATACCACAAACTTTACAGTAAGAAAAAAGCACTTTTATGACAGTATTTCACAAATTCACAAAGATCACTTTAATATACAAAGCAATTACTAGCTTCTGAAACACAAAGCAGTTAGTATGTACATAATGTTAATAAAATGCAATATAACCCAGTACATTAAAAAAAAAAACCAAAAAACAAAATACAACTGGATAAATTACAAAATTAAAACTGGGATATTTCAAAATAATAAGGAATTCTCAATTTAACTTAATCCATTTCTAGTTCATATTTCTCTGCCTAGTAATTTAATTCGCAATAAAAACATTTTAAAAAGTTCGGTACCCTGTTTTTTTGCTGATTGTTTTGGATAAAGAATCAGTTACAGGGAGAATACATTTTATTAAATAAAACTAGCACAGCTGTCCCTCCTCCCACAATATTCTAAAGTAAGTTCACATTCATGTGAACCTGAGATCCAAACAAAACAAGAATAAACTGATCAGAAGTTACACAACTTTCCCATTCCCTGGTGCTCCTCAAATTAGAGCATGAAGCATTCTTGAACAGTAAAATCTTAAATGGAATTAAAGATCTAACGTTTCATTTATTGTTTCACAAATAACCCCATGACCCAAAAATGGAGTGGCACCTGGATAATGTACAACTTATAGAAAGCATTTCAAAAATATCCTTTAGCTTTTGTTATGAACTTTTTCATTACAACCAACTTGTTTTATTTTTGAAGCCTGTTTTTCAGAATGTCAGTAATGCATCTGGCTAAGTCTGAGACTCAGGTAACAATGTGATAACAATACTCCCTTGAAGTACAGCAAATACTTGTTTTGAAACACTTAGGCATGCACCAACATTTTATTTGCTACATGATCAACAGGTCAATTAATAGATGGCATTCAAATTAGGAGACTCCACAGATACATAAGAGTGTTGACGTGCCCTGGGTTCATTGTGGGTTTAAAAGAAAGTACCTGTAAACACTCAATTATGTTCTGTGCATATACAGAACTAAAATGTTCTTGTTGAGAATGCACTACAATTCCAAAAATTCTTGATTTTTTTCAGCCATGTATTCTGAAACATGGTACTGAGATAAGCTGTTATATTCTTTATAATTTAGCATTGCAAAAATAAATTATATATATATATATATATATATATATATATATATATATATATATATATATATATATATATATATATATATATATATATAAAACAATGCTACAGAGTAGCAATGTTAAAATATACAATAACCCTGAAAAAATGGGCAAGTGGATGCAAAAAGATGTATGAGGTTCTTTGCAGATGTAACAATGTATTCATAATAACAATCCTGAATTAACCTCAAGAATTTCTAACTGTAGAGACAAATTTTTAAAAGGCTTGAAATGGCTAGTAGGAACCTGTACCTGCAATACCAAAATACACTTATATTACTTGTTTTGGACTACAGTTGCATTTTTTAAAAATTATATGTGAGTTTGCAATATTTATAATTCAATTCTAATTACTGACCATGTTCATGCTATATTCAAAATGAAAATTGTTATTACAAACCTGTAGACTGCTAAAGTATTCAGCACCATTTCTTTATTTAACAGTCCAAAGGTGGCTGTGCTCAGTACGTTGTACATGTATCAATAGGCATAACATCCGCAAACATGGATTTAAACAACATAAGAAATCTCAAAGTATGTTATAAACACTACATGTGGTAACTAATACAATCCCCTCTTAATTGGCACTGGGAAATATTGTGCTTTTAAAAATATATATCTATTGCTCATTCCCTAGAATTTCTTTCTCTTTCAAATATTCTAACAATTAAATATTAGCCTCTCTTATTGGAATTCCCCTTAACTTGAGATCTCAGTCTTTGGTATTGCCTTGTGCAGATGCCTCTAAAAAATAGCTGTCTCTTAGCAATATCGTGAGAGTCCATTGAGTAATAACATGCAGGCACAGAGATATTAAGCCCACCATAAGCAGGAGCACATTAAAGTCACATCAATACACTCAGATGTATCTGCTGCTGAGCCATTCCTCTGCAGGCTGTTAAGTAGAAAAATGAACATTTGCATCTTTGTGTAAAAAGAATATTCTCACACATTAAAACTATGTCAGGAATAGAAAGCATCTTTCTCATTTAACATGCTATTTTTTTTTTTAAATGTGCAGGAACAAACATTCATCCCTGAAGTATCTTAAATGGTACATATCCACAATAAAACACATATCTGCTGATCACATATTTCAGTTCCTAGTTATAATTATGATGACAGCTCTTCTCTTTTATAAAATTATATAGCTGTCATTGTGTAATTTTATAATTGCTTAATTCTGCAGAACATGGTAGATTCCACAACAGACATACTGTGCAATTACCAAACTTATCTGAGCTTAAGTATGCTTTCAAATTCTAGTTACAATGCTTTCCATTAGTCAAGTATAGGGTAAAATTATGCAAATAAAATATTGAGCAACCCCTCTTTTCTCTTTTGTTCCCTCCATATAACTCAAATGTTTTCCAATTGTTTTTGCCTTAAATGAATAGCTGCCCAACAGACAAAGCACAAAATGAATAACTTGGGAACAAAAGGAACTTTAAGGAGTTGCTATCACTTCATAATTCACCTTCATAACAAATATAAACTGCAGTGAAATAAAGTAACTGAAAATGGATAAGAAAATAACAAAACATATCAATAAGCGCCAGAATAATATAGTTCAAAATTTGGGGGGTGAGGGTGGAAGAGAGAAGAAACAATAAGCATGTATCTGCACACATACATACTATTTTTTTCTGACCTCAATATACTATAATATTCAGCATTCCTGACTTAAAAGCTCTCAGAGCTATAGATTATATACTGTGTATATATATTTTATATATGTACATACTTTATACATAAACCTTTCCAAGAATATCTTTTAGAAGAACACCTCAGACAATATTTGTACTGCCTGAATGTTTTTTTTCTTTTGTAAAATATAGAAACTACTTCAAATCAATTCTATGTATGATGACTATAATGGAACTAGCCCTTTCCATGCCAGTTGTTTTAGTTAAATCTGTCAATAAATTCAACAAAATTTCTGTTGTGCAGCAAAGGGGCCAAGTGTATAATAGAGACTAACTATTCAATAAGTTTATTAACTCAATAAATTAGTAATATACAAATTGAGGGTTGGTTTTTCAGTACTATCCCATTCATTTTGACTGTATCTTGCAAAACACATTGGCACCAACCTGCTCTATACTTGGGATAATTAAAACATAATTCAAAGTATATATGGAATGCCAGATAAATAACTAAATAACTCAGTACAGGATAAATAAAGTGGGCTGAAATGTTGCGTTATTGCTGGTGAAAAATCTCAGAATGTAAATTTTACGTTTACTATAGAACCAGTACAATAGATCCTGTGATACTACAAGTGATCGAGATTTAGCCTTTCAGAGAGCACTTAAAAGCACTAGCCCCACCCCCAATAGCCCACTCAGCTGGTGGCTTATCTGCTAAAATACAATCATACCCAATAATTACAAATGATGCCAAAATAATGGAGAGAGTTATGGTGGTTGCTTTTCCAGTACTTAAGTCTTCAAAACAAATCTTACATTATTGCATAATTTTTATACAGGTTAACCCATTTATGTGATCCCAGCCAGCTTTATGAGATACTTTTTCAAAAATTATCCAAACAAAAAGATACCACATACCATGACAGCAGTGTTACAAAACTGACTTCTGCAAAATCAACGAGTTCATGATTCTACTATATTATTCAGGGAAAAGAAGACAAATTTCACAATGCAGCTACAGATTGTGGATTTCAGCTCTCTATAGCATATATTCCCAAATCATTGCTAAAGTCCTTGTTTTTTAAAGATACAGAGAATGAAAATTTCAGAATAGCAGCACTTAATTATTAATTTATATGCTTTCATTCTGTTTCATCAAATTTATGAAAGATCACAATCCATATATAAATAAGTTACACAGATGTTCAGGTTATCTATTTTCTATGCCAGTAGGAGAATAAACAAGTTTGTCTAGCAAACTAAAAGGAGAGTGAAAAAAATACTCTTTTTCAAATCTAGAATTTTGACGTACTCTATAAACAAAGAAAAAAAGTTTATCTATTCCTATATAAAAAATATTTAATTTTCACGGAAATATGTTTTTAAAAATGATTTAATCCCTATTGTCACACTGTGAAATGCACCTGACAAATTCTCCCTAATATACCCTGGTATTTTATCTTTCAGAACAGCTACTGTGTATTTTAGTAGTGTGTGTGTGCGCGCGCACATGTGTGCACACAAGCTATTAAAATAAAATAAATATACATACACTGAAATAATGACTAGGCTTAGACAATTGTCTCCATGCAATCCCATTCTGGCCCTAATAGATCCTCAGCTCCATTCAACTCCAGGATATGTTTTTTTTTCACCACATAAATTCTAATGGTTTCAAAAGTTTTGCTATGTTCATGGCTGCTGGATTCTTTTATTTGTTCCTGCAAAATCTGATTAAAATCTTTGCATATGGCAATTTTATATATATAATTAAAACCTTAAATTACATGGCAGCCTATTCATATTAGTCAGTTTAAATGAATTGTAGACTGCATTAAATGTGTCCACTGGACAAGTGTAAACAGCATCTGAATATACAATAGGTAGGATTTTAGCAAAAAAAAAATAAATTTTTTAATCATATCCACATTATACATGCAGATGATGTAACAGAGAACGAATTTACTTCTTTTTAAAAATATATCAAAGGAAGTTTTAAGCAAAACAGAAGAGTCAAAAATGTTTCCAGGCAAAGTTTTAAAATTATTACTTGCATGATACAATTAGGACAGCTATAAGTTTTCTTTCCCCAAAGTGTGTATTATGCTAACTATGCTTCTAATTGTTACCTTGGATAATCTTGCTTTTGTATATGGAAAAAGGAAAGAGTAGTGAATGTACTATGATGTTTCCATCTTAAACATATACTACACTACTGCTTCCTACCAGTCCACATCCCAATCAAGTATAAAGTGATAGTTATCATTTGAATTTGGAAGTCTGACTACATAAAGCTTATTAAAACATTATAGAAAATAAGTGATTTTTTTTGTTGTTGTACAAAAATTGGATTAGGTTCATAATTGTCCAACTTGTCTCCTCCTCAATTTCTTCAGCTTCCTCCGATTCCTCTATGGTGAGTATACCTGAAATGCATCTCCTTTGGCATTATCCCACCAAATAGATGTTAACTGTACAATTGCTAACGTATATTTGAAATTATGCAATAACTTGGCAACCACAGCCACTTCAGAGCATCATACCTTGATTATATATATGGCCCATTGAGTATTTCAGGGCAAAAGTCCAGGGTGACTCTCACTAAGGCATTCAGATGAGATTATGCTGACTCTTGAAATTATTGTAAGAAACCTCCAACTCTTGTAACTTCACAAATGAAGATTATTATTTTTTGAAGAGGAAGTTTGCTTTTTTTTCTTCAGAATCAGGGTGTATTGTGATGAAATCAATTTCAGGAGGGGAAGAAGTGAAGGCAGATGTGCAACATTCACAGTTTAATGCCAAGCACAGATGAATCAAATTCCTTAGTTGCTTTCAGATAGTTGTGTATGTAGAAAAAAAAAAAAAAAGAAAAAAAATTCTTAGAAAATAAAAAGTTCATTTTGTCTGTTTGACTATCACCAAACCAGTCTTTTCCCCCATTAACAAACAAAAACCGGGGAATTAAAATTAATCTGATTTGTGGCAATACAGGTCCTTAAGTGCTTTTAATTCTTCAATTAATGTCTTGTTTTGGTTTTCAAGGACAGCTACTCTGTTTTCTAGACATTTGACATATTCTTTTTTCTTCCTGCGGCATTCACGTGCTGCTTCCCTGTGGGCAAAATAAGAGAAAATATTCAGACTTAAGACAATTTTCAACATTCATAGCTGATTTTAACTTCAATAATGTAGTAATTTTAAAGCTAGAGCTTTAAAAAGAGTTCTCCTTCCCATTCATTTAAGCAGTAAGCTACCACATTGAAGGGCTACAAGTTTAGAAACCACCAGGGATCAACAGGCCAAAAAGTATAGTAACACCTATTATCAAATCACTTGTTAGTATGCAATAACTCTAATTCTTAAAGCATTAAAACAATCATATCCTCTGCAAGGCTGAGTACAATTACTTACAAGGTTTTTGTGTCTACATATTGTGCCCCATGACCCCATTAATGTGCATTCTTCTATTCTTGAGCTGGGATTTTCAGCATAAGCTGTGGTGCCCTCCACAAACTAGGTTTACATTTCAGTAGTAAGGTCAGGCAGTACTGCTGCACTTGCACAATTTAATAAGAGATAATTTCAGAGCAGTGGTTGAGATTGATGATTCTCTGCTCTCTATTCTCCTCCCACCATCCCTCTCAGCAAGAAAGCCACACTCTCCTGAATACACAGTGGGGCAAAGTTAGGGTTTCAAGACTTAATTTTTTATTATATATTTAGCTTTAATTTATTATTTATTGGATGCTTCTTCTGACAAGGTTTATTGTTCTTCATGTCCTATAAAACCATTTTACTGATGCTGTTATTAGTCCAGATTATAAAAAGACTATGTCTAGATGGCATCGTCTATGAACGTGTTTACAGGACTCCTCTCCCTCCTCTCAGGAATTTGACTGTTTTGTTTGAGAAAGAGATCAATATATAGTTCGGGCTTTTCTTGTATTCCAAATCTGAGAGACTGGGAGAGAGAGAGATAGATATAGATATATATCAAACATCTCCCTCTCTCCCAGTCTCTCAGATTTGGAATAGCCCAAACTAGAGAGCTCTTAGAATTTAAACAATTGTGTCGGTAATTCACTGCTGCCGATTTCTCTACTTTATCAGAGAATAGTTCTGCTTCCTCTCTGGCCCATAGTAACAGGGGTAAAAATGAGAAATGGAATCAAGGAAGTCTACTTCTATTAAATACAATCATTCTAAATTAAAAATAACTCACTTGTTCTTGAATACTGTACCACTGCTTTCATCGTAATAAAGCTTGATAAGAGAGACTCCAAGGTTTCTGCTTGTAAAACAATCACTCTCAGTCTAGTCAGCTACCAAAGCTCCAATTGGTGCCTCTGGATTTCCCCCCCCCCTTTCTCCCTCCCGAAGCTAATTTTCCTCATAAAGCTCTTTGTCAGGCAAAGAGTGTCTTCTCATATCTCTCATCATTCCACATCTGCGTGTCTCTTACATTCTCCATGTTTTACTATTTCCCCTATGCAAGGGTGCATGCATACATACACACCACTAAGTAACAGTTTAAACTGCTTCTGCTTTGTCAGAATAGAATAATTTGCATTTTCCACTGCCTTGTCTATACAGAAGCACTATCTGGCATCTGAATGCAGCTGCACTTTGATTGTATGGTGACACCAATTGCTATTTCTGATTAATCTTTTCACTCTAGGAAATAAAACCCTTCTATTAAGAAAGCATTTAATTTTAATGTGGACGAGTATAGTGAGGCTGCGTTTTGCCAATGATAGTATTCAATATTTTGATTTCTTAAAACTTGAAGACCAATAGTCACTGCCATTTTGAAAGTATTCGATTTTATTATGAGCTACTAAGTTGATATTGACTTTTAATAATCACATAGAGCAGATAATTTCTTAAGGAAGTATGTTGTCTCCCAGGTGCAGACTAAAAATGTGTCACATAGGTTCACTAAAATAATCCAGCCCACCAATTATTATTCCTTTCTCCACTTTCATGTTAGGATGAATAATACAACTAAGAGCCTGAAATCAATATCAAAGGAGCAACTAGGCAAAAAAAGCAAAGGACCTGGGTGCTCAGATTGCTTTATCATCAGCAATCCCAATGATAAGTCAATGACCAATGAGAGATCAGATGTTTTAGAAGTAAACTGCTGGCTCAAAGAATGGTGAGAACTTTGACTTTCTGAATCATGTATACACTACCTACAGCAGTGGTTCTCAACCTTTCTAATGCCGTGACCCCATAATACAGTTCCCCATGTTGTGGTGACCCCCAAGTGGGTGTGGCCACCAATAAGAGGGAGTAGGTCAGCTAGGGAAAAGGGAAAAAAATGGCGGACAACGTGGTTTGGCGACCCCCGTGAAATGGTCGTTCGACCCCAAATGGGGTCCCGACCCACAGGTTGAGAACCACTGACCTACAGGAAAGGCTTCTAGCAAGAGATAGACAAAATTTGGCAAGAATGTGTTTGGGAAGCAAGTGAAGGGCTTTAAACTAAAGGGCTTTAAACTAAAACTGGAGGTGGAAGGAAACAAACCTGTAGGGCTAAACCCAAAGCATATAGGTCAACACAACAAATTAGACAGAAAGGAAGTGGTGAAGAAGGGGCACACAAGTACAACTCAGGATACGCAGGAAACAAAACTAAGGTCAACGATAAAGAGTTCAAATGCCAATATACCAATGCTCATAGTATAGGGAACAGAGAGAGCTTGAAATCCTAGTATATGATCCTTGTATGATATTGTTAACTTCCCAGGGAAAATCCTTGAAAAGATAATCAAGTGGAGAAGTTGTGAACAGCTAGAAATGAACAAAGTGATTATAGTACTAGAAGCCAGTATGGGTTTGTTAAAAATAGATCATGCCAGACAAACCATATATCCTTCTTTGATAAAATGACTAAATTAGTGGATCAGAGAAATGCTGTGGACATAGTATACTTGGACTTCAGTAAGGAATTTGACAACCAAGACCACAGTCTGTTTCTTAGTAAGATAAAAAAATGTGGGAATCCACCACCAAATGGATTTGCAATAGCTGACCAACTGTCCCCAGCACGTAGTCCTTAATGGAACTACATCTACATAGAGTGAAGCATGCAGTAGGGTACCTCAAGGTTCTGTCTTGGGCCCAGTACTTTTCAACATCTTCATGAATGATCTATGAGGGGATAGAAGGGGAACTCATCACATCTGCAGATGACACCAAGCTGGGGGGGAATTGCTATCACTTTGGAACATAGGCTCAAGATCCTGATGGATCTTGACAGATCACTTATATAACAAGATGCAGTTCAATGGTGAGAAAAGCAAGGTCCTGTACTTAGATAGGAAAAACCAAATGCAGAGGTACAAAATAGGTGGTACCTGGCTCAACAGTAGTAACTGAGAGATCAAGGTGTACCAATAGGGGAAATATTTGTAGCCTAGGGGTAAAATGAAAGGTCCTTGATGTTCTCTGAGCTTGGTTGTTTTCTTGCACATTCCATTGCTCAAACTAGGTAGCATCATCAGTAGATCTAGGTGGCCTAATGGACCACCACTTAAGTATGAGCCAACAATGTGGTGCAGCTGCCAAATAAGCCCATGCAATTCTCGTGGACTGCATCAACAGAGGGATAACATCAAGATCATGAGAAGTGATAATAACGCTTTACTGCTGCTCTAGTGAGGCTACAATTGGAATACTGCATACATTTCTGGTCATCAGGATACAAAAAAGTTCTGAAACCTTAGAAAGTGAGCAAAGAAGAGCAACAAAAATGATAAAGGGTCTGGAGGCTAAATTGTATGATGATTGGTTGAAGGAAGCTAGGTTTTCTAACCTATTGAAGAAAAGGATTAAGGGGGACATGATTACCGTCTTCCAGTACTTGAGGGGCTGTCACAGAGCAGAGGGGATTGACTTATTCTCCAAAGCACCAGATGGCAAGGCAAGAAATAATGGATGGAAGCTTGTTAAAAATAAATCGAAGCTAGAAGTAAGGAGAAATTTCCTGACAGTGAGAACAATTAGTCAATGGAATAGCTTGCCTCCTGGAGTTTTGGGTGTTCCATCACTGGAAGTTTTAAAAAATGGACTGGACAACCATTTGATTGGGCTGGTATAAGGTCTCCTGACTCTTGAGGTCCCTTCCAGCTCTAAGTTCTATAGAGGTCTCCATATAGAAAATCTGCCTAAAATCTATAGAAAATCTGCCTCCAACCTGGTCCTTTAAAGGTATACTTCATTTCTTTTTAATATACTGAGACGGATCAAGTCTCTGCTATTGGATATCCCATGCTAAACTTGTACAGATTTTTAAGAGTTAATGACTGCCTTCTTTTTGTAGTGGTTGTCCTACAAATCAACTTTCTTGAAAACAGATGCTCCTATTAAGGTGTCCAGGCCAATAAAGTTCAGGAGGAAACTTCTCTATGCAAGTCATGTATAAACACCAAATAAGTGAGTGCAAGGACTAATGTTTATTAGCATTTCTTTGCTGTGCCTCATCACAATATTGTGAATGAAAGAAGATTTGGGAAATATTAGAGGACCAAGCCTTTTAGATTTTTTTTTTTATCTCTAGATAAAAAAAATTCTGATTTTATTCTGTAATACAGAACTGAGGCTCAGGTATTGATTAGAAATACATGGAATCATGTGCCAATGGCAGGAATTATGAATAATATAGGACATACGTTTACAGTGTGGACAAGCATCAGTGCTCAAATTAATACTGGAAGGATCAGAAGACAAGACAATGTTTCCCCTCCTGCTTAGTTGTATTAGTTGCACTGCACAGGTAGTCCTTGACCTACGACCATAATTGAGCCCAATGTTTTTGTTGCTAAGTGAGACATTTGTTAAGTGAGTTTTACCCCATTTTACGACTTTTCTTACCACGGTTGTTAAGTGAATTGTTGCAGTTGAATTAATAACCGAATTGTTAAGTGAATCTGGTTTCCCCATTGACTTTGTTTGTCAGAAGGTTGCAAAAGTTGTTCACATGATATGAGACTCTGCAAGCAACATAAATATGAACCAGTTGCCAAGCATCCAAATATTGGTCATGAGACCATGAGGATGCTGCAATGATCATAAGTGTGAAAAATGGTCATAAGTCATTTTTTTCAATGACGTAACTTCAAATGGTCACTAAATGAACTGTTGTAAGTTGAGGATTACCTGTACAGAACAGTTGTGCATGCAGATGACTACTAAAAGAGCCAGTTTGAGGAGAGTAACCAGATCTTCCAAGTCATTGTTCTACTGTATTTTAATCCCATATTATGGTAAAGATTAATAACAGTTTTAGCCATTTAAAACTCATTTATATTAAGATATTCTGCAATGAATACTTAACTCAATCCCTTGCATATTAATTCAGATATAAATTTCACTATGTTCAAGGTTTTATCCTCTAATAAGATTAAAACTTCAGTCTCATTTACATTAAAACAGGGGGGGTCAAACTTGCCGTGTCACGTGACATGTCGCGACATATTGCGACTTTTTCCCCCTTGCCAGAGCTGGGGTGTGCGGGGCTTCTGTGTGACACATCCGGTCAGTGGGCCGGCAGTTTGACACCCCTGCATTAAAAGGAAAAAATTAATCTACCCATTTTTCTCCTGCAATAGGTTGTTTATTTTCTGTATTTTTATCTAATAGCAAGTCTGAGAGTTTTCTAAATCAAATGCTCATAAGGTTACTGTTTCAGAAATGCTTCAAAAATTATAAATCAGTTGGTCTGAGGAGTAAAATAAAACATTACTGCATGACAGTTTTCATCACTGTTCAGCTATTTTTTAATATTTTACATTTCATATTTTTTATCTTTGAAAGGAACCTAAGAATTAAGTAATATTGATGTAAAAGTAGTATTAATTAAGAATGGCTGTTTTTCTTCTCTCCTGCTAGTAAGTCACTACTGCTTAGCCTAAGGCAGGCATGTCAAACTCGCGACGTCATGTGACGTTGCACGACGTATCGGAGCTTTTTCGCCATTGCTGGCAATGGGGTGGGCGCAGCTCCGGTATGATGAAACCAGCCCGCGGGCTGCCAGTTTGACACCTCTGGCCTAAGGGCTCTTTTGAGGTATTGAATCATTTATTGAGTCAGCTGCATAATAAAACAAGGTAAGTTATGGCTTAATGATCAACTAACAAAGTGCTGTCACATGCTGTGTTTGCTTTTTTTTCCCCAGCAAGAGGGTTTATCTAACAAATTAAAATTCTCCAACTCTGCTTGTTTATAAGAACTTGCCGCAGAAAAGCCCAATTGTTTGTTTCTTATAGCATATTCCAAACAACAACAACAAAAAATACAAATTCCTTCTTCAGACAATAAACTAAAGTGAGGATGCATAATTAAGGACTACCTTAGTTTTCAAAGAACAGGAGCCATGTATGAGTAGAATATCTAAGGAGCTATATGTTGTACACTGACTATGAAACTTCGCACTGAACAAATATTAAAAGAATCATCTATGGTTTTGGTTGATATATTTGCATGGGGAGCCAACAAATATTTTCTTTGATAAACCATAATTGGACTTATCAAATCATTTATAAGTTGACTGAAAAAGTATCATTCTGCTGTCTTGCTTGAAATGATTTATTTCTAGTTGATATTGCAAAGTTGCTTTGCAAATGATATGGTTTTGACTGTTAGCAAGATTAATTCTGGGCTATGCCAAGGAAAAAATACTGGTCCTGCACTTTCTGGCTCTATTAACCACTGCAACACAACATGGGGATTGCAGATCTTTTTCCCAGTTATACAAGTTTTTCAGATAAAGCTAATTGTTTTTGGTACCGTCACTTCCATCTTATATGGTAAAATTTTCTTTAGAATGGGAGTAAAGAAAGTTGTTGTAGTCCTTGACTTACAACCATTCATTTAGTGACTGTTTGAAGTTACAACGACACTGAAAAAGCGACTTTTGTCTGTTTTTCATACTTACAACTATTGCAGCATCCCCATTATCACTTGATCAAAATTCAGAAGTTTAGCAACTAGTTCATATTTATGACAGTGGCAATGTTCTGGGGTTGCGTGATCACCAATTGCAACCTTCTAACAAGGAAAGTCAACCATGGTATTAACTTAACAACTGTGACAGAACAGTCATAAACTCTCTTTTAGGCTCAATTGTTCTAGGTCAAGAACTACCTGTAAAAATATTTTTGGCTGTTAATGAATAGTATACAAACCTGTTCTTCATTAGACGGACTTCTCTTTTTCGTGCTGCTTCTTCTGCTGGTTGAGTGGGAAGAGCTGGGGAAGATGCCATGACGACACCAGGTGCAATGGTGCTTGTGGGTGCTGTGCGAATTTGGTAGGTCTGAACATCTCCCGAAGCAGCTAGAAAGAGTTACAAAATGTTATATTTGACAGTACTGGAAGACAATTCTTAAAAAAATTTGAAAATCTGTTAATACTATCCATTTAGTTGGCAGTTCTCTTCTTCCCTTAGTGTAACTGGTATGGTTGACTGCAACTCTCACTGCAAAAGTACAAAGTTTCTGCTGTTCTGTATTTATAGAAATAACATACAATTCTCAAGCATTTCTTATTGCACTGAAAATCCTCTTTGACATTTTTCTCCTATCCCTCTTTCTTAGTTACTTTGTTCCCTGATCACTTTCCTTCTGAAACTATTTAAAACAAACTCTCCCCCTTACTGTTCACATTTCAAAATATCCTACCCAAACCACCTTTGAGATTCAAAGGATATTTTCATCTGCATACTGCTTTTTTTGGCTTCTTTTGCCCAATCTTATGCCCCTCTTCCCTCTCTCCAACCCCTTCTCCCACAACCATTGCTCTTGTTCTTTATCTTTTCCCCTCACAATGTATCTGCTATCAAGATTCTACCATTTTTCTGCCTTTACATTTCCCACGTTTTCTCCTAAGGTTTCCTGTCTCTCATATGGTATAGATTCAGATATCTTTTGTAACTCAACAAATATGTTCAACTCAACCTGAGCAATATACTGGGCTTTCCAGGAAGCATACAATAGAATTAGTTTATATTGTACTATGATTAACTATGATTAACAAGCATTATCAAGTGATTGAAATAATATAAATCTCAGATGCACAGAGAAAAAAAGATAATAGAAAATACAAACAAGTCTACTAAGATGTAAATAGACAGATACGATAAATGTATCAATTTACCATATATATATATAAATGATCACCATATTATAGTCTACTGCTGTAATGGTAAACCATAAGATCCATACATATTTTATAAAATTGTGGTTCCTGCTGCCAATGTCTCATTCTTTTAAGTTTTTTTCTTTTTAATAAAGAAAAAGATTATTTATAAAATAAAGATATTTATTTCAAAGACAGGGTACTAAAAAACAACAAAAACAGAAAGATAACCCCTGCCCAAATTACAAACACAACAAAAATAAAAAATAATAAATAATGTCTCAAATATAGAAATCTAATCTCTTCTCAATCAGATTGACCTAGTATTTGTTAACTCTAAAAAAAACCCATTAACTAGCGGCCCAAAGAAATAAGCTTATCTTAACATCTTCATTATTACATTAAATTTGCAGAAACTCCATGGATGACTTCCATTCTCTTATAAACATGTCCATAATATTGTCTCTAAGCCATACAGCTAATTTCACCATCTCTGCCAACTCAATCAGTTCCAGTTGATCATCTTTCATCCATTTTATAATTCTGTTATGATTATTTCTTATATTAATATCTTTTTCACATTTTCCAATTTCCGCAGATAGAAACGGACAGCCATTTGTCTGAAATGATATAGGGTTTCCTGCCTAAGCAGGGGGTTGGACTACATGACTTCCAAGGTCCCTTCCATCATCATCATCATCTCCTCTGTCCCCTTTCCCTCATTTTCTGATAGGCCTCTAAATTCTATTTTTATTTTTTTCTAATGTGGCAATTAATGGCTTGTTAATTCATATCCCAATTATTATATATCTAGAGTTTTCCAATATTGGGCAATTAATTATTTTAGCTACTTTAATTATTCTTATTTTTAAGCTTGAGATATGGTGCTGTAAATAAATGCAGGAAGCCTAATTCTGGGGAACATTCAATTCTTTAAGTGATAGTATCTCCTCAAAACTTTTATATCAAAAAGGTATAGCTTTATCAAGTTTGTTTTTGAGAACCCGTGTAATATTTGGAAGAATAATTTTGATTTACACGTGCCAATCTAACTGAAGTCACGTGCTAGCAATACATAAGCTTTCCACTGCAGTTCTTGCATTGAAACAAAGATTAATCCATCCACTTTTCACAGTTTCTTCCAATTTGCCTTATGTATGTAATTACCAAGATCAATATCCTAAACTTCCTTTAAACCAGTGGTTCTCAACCTGTGGGTCGGGACCCCATTTGGGGTCGAACGACCATTTCACGGGGGTCGCCAAACAACGCAGTCCGCCATTTTTTCCCCCCTTTTCCTTAGCTGTGCTACTCCCTTTTATTCTATTGGCTTTTGAAAGCCAATAGAATAGACTCTCTTGAATAGAGTCTAATTCTATTGGCTTTCAAAAGCCAATAGGAATTGTCCAGGCTGTCTCTGCCCTGCTGAGCCCGCCAAAAGTCCCATTCTGCAAATGGTGCTGCACCAGTTGAGTAGTCCTCGACTTATGACCGGTTGAGTAGTTCTCGACTTACGACCAGTTGGGGGGTCGCGGCATTAAAAAGGTTGAGAACCACTGCTTTAAACTATGTGATGGATTTCCTGTCAGCTGCCATCTCACACTTGCAACCATTCAGTATCAGCTGCCATGAACTCTGGGGGGGTGGGTAGAGGGCGGGGCTAATTGGCAGAGGGGATGCTTCAAGGGAAACGAAAGTTCAATGTATCTTTCAGAGAGTAGCTTCAAAGTCAAGCTGTTGGGAACTGAACGCAACTGCATGCCAAACCTAGGCCTGAAAGTGAGATCTTGTTTGAATTTGATTAGACAGGGGGGACCAGTGATGGGAGGCAACTAAGGGAGGGAAAAGTTAGATTTGGGAATTTTGGTGCACAATCTTCAGTTCTGGCTGTGCACTACTGTAGTTCACTTGACTTCTAGTAAACTATACATTTCTCAACAAATGGAGTTAAGGATCATTCTTAATTAGAGGTTCAAGCTGACATCTAGTGTTCCAATATCTCAGGGGCTGCCACAAAGAAGAGGGTGTCAAGCTATTTTCCAAGGTGCCTGAAGGCAGAACAAGAAGCAATGGGTGAAAACTAAGCAAGGAGAGAAGCAACCTAGAACTAAGGAGAAACTTCCTGACATTTAGAACAATTAACCAGTGGAACAACCTGCCTCCAGAAGCGGTGAATGCTCCAACACTGGAGGTTTTTAAGAAGAGACTGGATAGCCATTTGTCCGAAATGGTATAGGGTTTCCTGCCTGAGCAGAGGGTTGGACTAGATGACCTCCAAGGTCCCTTCCAACTTTACTATTATTATTATTATCTCCTAATTGCAATAATAACTTATAGTTCTGATACTATAGTTGCTCCAAAAACTGTTGCTACTAATAAAACTGAAGAGAATTTGGGGAAATCTGAAATAAAACTTTAAAGAAAAGATTAAAGAGATTATTTGCTAAGAGTTTAGAGGGAGGCAATGTGAACTAGCTCAAATGAAATCTTGGGCTAATTTCACATAAACCCATTTGTAATTTCCAATCCTATTGTGTGAGATATCAGCATAAATTGCTGGTAGAAATTATCTGTCCCATTCCTGCAACTGTCTACTTAAAAGGGACAGAAAACTGTAAGAAACAAGGCAGCAAAGGCATGCAGAGCACGGCCTTCAGAATTCTTTCTAACCTCTTTACCAGGAATGGCCTCCAATAGCTTGTGAATTTATTTCCGTATATGTGCATGTTATGTTTGCATTTCTGTTCTCCCTTAAGTTTACATATTTCTGTCAAGACAGAAAAAATGTGTATGATTATAGCTCTTGCTTGTTTCAGCTCTGTTCCTCATATCCTCAGATTTTATTTGAAGAATAGGAAAGAAAAGTCACTTTAACAATTTCACAAATAAAAAGAATGAATAAATGAATAAATAAAGCATCAACCTTGAGTAAATCATTTAAGAATATCCTTATCCTACCTTGTACTACTACTTGGTTGCTGGGTACCAGAATTTGTTGTCCATCAGTAGTCTGTGCATACTGTAAAATGGTGGTACCCGGCTGGGTTGCAGCTGCATTGGTCATAGTTAGAGTCTGCAGGCCCTGGACACCATCCGTGCCATTGTTTGCTAACTGGATGGCACCTCCCTGGGTGATAGCAACTGGAAACAGGCAAAAGCAGGTAAGCAATTAGGATATTAAGAACACTGTAAATAGTCTGAAAATAAGGTTGTTTAAAACATTTAATGTTATGCTGTTTCCTGTGATGACGTTATGACTCTGAATATATTTTATTCATTACAGCTATTAACACAGACGTTTTCCTGATGCAGCAATTTCGGTAAGTGATAGATAAATCACTACACAAAGCACTGCTGGAAACTATTTTGTCAATGGCATATTTTTCTTAAACCTGTTATGGCAGAACAGCTGAAGCATCTCCCCCAAAAAATCATTAGAAAAGTGTACTAATCTAATTCTGAAGAGATATTGAATTTTGTTCACCATATAGGAAAGTGTAATTTATTATATGCATTTTGCAAGACGTGACTTTTTAAAGATTACAATTTGTTTTCTAATTCATTCAATCAATCAATCCAGATACTAGCATTTAATAACAATATGCATTTATTGTGTGATTCCTTAATTTTTTGGTAATGAAAAGTATATGTACTTTGTTAAATTTGTTGGTGATAATTTTTTGCTGTTGATTAATAAAATTAATAAAGTAATAAAAATTAGCAATTTGTTTCTAATAATGGAGCTCTGTTCATGCCAATGGTCTAGTGTTTAAGGCACCAGGGTAGAAAGCGGGAACGAGTGCGAGTTCAGTTCCCGTCTTAGCCATGAAAGTCACCTGGGTAACCTTGGCCCAGTTATTCTCTCAGCCAAACCCCTCTCAGAGGATTGTTGTGGGAAAAATAGGAGGGGGAAGGTGTGTTGGTTATTTTCGCCGCCTTGAGTCATTTGTAAAAGAAATAAAGATAGGACACTAATAAATAAAATAAACAATGGTTTCCCCTCTATATTTTGTTCTTCTTACATATTTTTTATCAGTTTCATCCTTCATCAGTTGCTTTCTTCTCTGTTGCCGCTGTGTTAGTTTCTTTAGCACTTCACATACAATTATTGTTCTTAATTTTTTTCTGTACTTATTTCTGTATCCACTTTCATGAAGCTCCTCAGTCTGCTACACATCACTCAGACTGCAATAAGAATACCATTCACACATGGTCCCTCATTCAATGCTGCCAGCATCAGTTCCTCAGCTCCACCACATATACACCAATCCATTCATGCAGACAATACCTGCATGCACAGCATTGCCATATTGATGATGGATATCAGCAACACCAGTCCCTAAAAGAAAATTAGGACCACACTGGGGACCAGAGCAAATAATAATCATAAAACTCTATGTCCTTCATCCACCCTCCCAGCCTTGATCGCTGAACATGTAAGGGTGATTTCACATGGCAATGCTTCCGTCATGAGATAAACTAGAACACAAATCATGCTTTCATGCAGTAGCTATTGTTGAGCAAGTATTATATATTATAATCATTCTTAATATGAATTAAATGCAACATTTTACTGCCGTGAAACTTTTCACTTCAACTGAAGATGTAAATTGGTCCTTAAAGCCAAGATCGTATGTGAACAGGTGAAGAGTATTCTATCCTTTACAGTGAAGTGGGCAGTGAATTACCTGCTAGGAAAGTAATGGGACTGAACTATATCCATAGCGTTAAGAAGGACACTAGAAGGCACAGGACATGCTAATTTTCTAAGACATGTTTAATCAAAACAAAACACCTGCATAACAATGCTTAACTAATTTTCATTTGCCCTGCTCCTTTGTTGATATGCCACATTTGTATACTATTGGTTCATTTAATAACAAATGTTTTGTTTTGCCAGCAATCACTGGGTTTATCCTTAAGTAACAGCATGACTGCACAAACATTTCTCTTTGGTTCCCATAATCCTTTGGTATGTTTTCATATATTTTATCAGATGTGACACAATTCGAAATCTGAAAGTACAAATATGGAGCTCTGAACATTTTTCAGAGGGGAAATTATAATTATAATTTCAGAGGGGAAATAAAATGCATTTTTTACAATTTAATTAAGACCTTATATACTTTTCCTTTCCTACTACTGTATAAGAAAGAGATATCACGTACTGTATTGCCCACTGCTTGTTTGATAAATTGGAGTTGGCACGGTGACAGTAGTAATAGCAGGTGCTGTTGCTTCTTCTTCAGATTTTTCTTCCTCAATTCTTGGCACTCCTGGGGCATCTGAGGACAAATCATTCAATATTTTCCTAAAAAAAAAATGTTGGAGAAATCTTAACCAATCCGGGAACTACCATGTTTATAATAATCTGACAGTACATAATCTCCACAGCAGACTTGTGGAGAAACTCGAGAGTATTATGAATCCAACCTAATCATGGTCAATTATATTTTTCTTGGAAATATGGCATGAAAGCAATTGTACTTCTGCTCTTGCAAGAATTCAGATATATGCTGAACCAAAGATAATAATCTGTAATATACTTGTCCTTATCCATGAAATATTAATAGCACTGAAATTTAAACACAAGTATTAGGTACTATGAGAAATGAAAAGATATTGAAAATACTTGTAGCTCGGATTTCAGATTTTGGCTGTGGTTTGCTCTCAGAGCTTGTTTTAATATAATTTCTGAACATTTCATTACCAAACTAAGTAACATATACATAGCCAAAAACTAAGTTTCTTTTGTCCTCCAAATCACCTGCGCACAGCAATTTTAACTATATTTCTCTCCCCTCTCATCCCACCTTTTCAGTACTTGTGTACTTTTATTCTGTACTTCTCACAATTATGTATTACAGCTTTTGAGACAGAATAACCAGAATGCTGCATTATATCTTAAAAGTAATCATATTAGAGATTTGTTAGATTCTGCTAGATTGTGCTTAAGGGCCTCTTTTTAATCATAGTAGCACTACTACTACTACTACTACTACTACTGCTTATAATAATAGTTATATACCAGGAAGGCCTACTGATACTGGAGAGACCAAAATGGCCCATAATGAAGAACTGAAAAGTGGCACGGGAAGAGAAAGTATTATGTGGCCAATACATTAAAAACAACAACAACAACAGGTAAAGCAGATAATAATAAGATCTGGCAATGGCTAAAAACAGGAAAGTTGAAGAAAGAGAGACGGGCTAATTCTGGCTGCACAAGACCAAGCCTTAAGAACAAATGCATACAAAGCTAGAACTTGGAACACAGCAACAGGCAGCAAGTATTTCTTCTGGAAAGAAACTGAAGAAACAGTGGACCACCTGGTTAGCTGCTACAAGAAAATCTCACAGACTACAAACAATGGCATGACAAAATAGCAACAACACTGGATTGGAAGATCTGCAAAATTTAGCACTTGCCTGCAAGCAAGAACTGGTGAGATCATAAAATACAGAAAGTAAAATAAAATGAAGAAGATAAAATGCTTTGGAATTTTAGAATTCAAACAGACAGGTATCTGCCACATAACATGCCAGACTTAACACCTGTCAATAAGAAAGACAAAAAAGTCTGGATAGTGGACACCTTGAGACAGTGGAATAGAAGAGAAGGAAATGGAGAAGATAACAAAATACAAAGACTTGCAAATAAAAATAGAACAATTATAACAAAAGAAAACAAAGATAGTACAAATAGTAATAGGTCCCTTGAGTGCAATCCCAAAACAACTGGAGCATTACTTTAACACCCTCTGCATTGACAAATTCACTAATAGTCAATTGCAAAAGGCAGCTTTACTTGGAACAGCTTACATTCTGCAATAATTATACTTTGAACACTCACCATAAAATGTCAACATTTGCCTATCCCAGATCCTTGGAAAGGACTGAATAGGTGGATAAAAATGCCAAATCCAGTCTGAAAATCTGGCTGACTGTGCAATGAACCATAATTATATTTATATTGCCAAGTCACAAGATTTCATGATTAGAGAAATACTTACTGAACTGATAATAAGTACTAAGAAAATGACTTTTAGTAAGCAGGTTAGGAAGTAAAAACTTAAGGGAATAAGCATGAAACTATGATACCAAAGATAAAATGGCTATGGAGCTACAAGATTTCCAGTGAAAGTGGTTAAAATATGTGAGTGGTAAAGATAAAGACAGGTAAGATTAATCAGAGCTGTAAGCAAGTAATTAAGAGAATTAAGAAATTGAGGGCATTTTATGCTGTCTAAAGAACAGAATTTGGAGATAGAATAGCATTTTCCAGCTACAGATCCAAATTTGCTAGAGAGGTGGTGGTGGTGAGGACCAAACTGGCACTGTCAAGGACTTGCTGACAGACCACAAGCTTAGACTGAATCCTAAGCTTTCTCAGATGTTACTTCCTGTTACTTGTAGAAGTTAAAACGCTACAGGAACTCAATGGAGAATCAATACACTTGTTCCTTTCTATAAGTCTTCCATTTCACCCATTTCATAGCAATTAAAATCTTTGAATTTTATTACAATGAAATGAAAAGCAACTGGTCTGATTTTACCATGTATACATTCTAAGAAAATATAAGAAAAATCTGATCTGAACTACTGAGAAAGGGCATATAGTATCTTTTCAGTTAAAATAAACAATATTTCTTACACAACTGGACAAAACTGACTTTAGTAATCTGATTATTTGGTGATCACTGGTTTTCAATAAAAAAAAAATGCCATGGAATTTTTTTTTTTTACAGACTGTGCTTGAAATAATACAGCAAATAACACTGTTAACACTTTACAATTAATGTGACTGATTGTTTCATACACAAAAAGATGCCTAATCATTATTTCTCCAAATGGGAGACTATTCCAAAGAAAGCATCTTATATATTAATAAACAGAAGAATAAATCTATGCCTTTAAATATGAATGTTACAAATTTATGTCTTCCCACTTTGCTTGCAAACAATTGATTAAAGTAACCAATCATCCTACCATAGTATTTCCCTGAAGAAACTTAGCAGCATATACATGCTATGTAAGGGGCGTTGTCTTACCTGAACGCCTTTTCTCAGCATGGAGATGGATAATCCACCAATGGGTTGAGACTGTATTCCTGCCCAATCAGATCAGTCAGCCAAAGTTGCCACGCCCGTCCTGGACCACGAGATTCCCAGTCTTGACACGAGCGAAGCCATTGACTGACAGCAAGACGTTTTGGCTCAAACTATTTACCCCTAACCATCATGGTCTACAAGGGTGGGTGTGGATTATCCATCTCCTTGCTGAGAAAAGGCGTTCAGGTAAGACAACGCCCCTTCTCCAGCACTGGAGATGGATAATCCACCAATGGGACATACCAAAGCCTATTGTCCCTCGGGGTGGGGAATAGACTGGTCCTGTGTGGAACTTTGGTTTAGCACCTGCTGAAGAACCCTCCTACCAAAGGAGGCCTCTGCAGAGGAGTATTTGTCGATTTTGTAGTGGCGAATAAATGGGGAAGGCAAGGCCCAAGTGGCCACCTTGCAAACTTCCTCAATGGAAGCCTGCGTGGCCCATACTGCTGAGGTGGCAGCATTCCTTGTGGAGTGAGCCATGACATGTCTGGGGACCGGCAAAGCTTCCGCCTGGTATGCCCCAGCGATGCATGCCCTGATCCACCTGTCAATGGTGGGGGAAGAGACCTTCTGGCCCCTAGAGAAGGAGTGAAAGGATATAAAGAGAGCCTCTGAACAGCGGAATTCCGCTGTCCGTGAAATGTAGTACCTTAGCGCCCTGCGGACGTCTCATGTATGCCATTGTCGTTCTAGGGCATGAGTTGGATTTGGACAAAAGTCTGGTAGGACTATTTCTTGTGACCTGTGAAAAAGGGAGTTGACCTTTGGGATGAAGGAAGGGTCTAGTCGCAAGACTACCCTGTCCCTGTGAAAGTAATACAGGTCTTTCCTTGTTGAGAGTGAGGCTAACTCAGATATACGACGAGCCAATGTAATTGCTACCAAGAATGCTACCTTGTGGGTTAGGTAGTGGATGTCACATGTTTTGAGTGGTTCAAACGGTGCTCTGGTGAGAGCTCGCAGTACTCGTGGTAGCTCCCATGAGGGGTACTTGTGTACGGTAGGTGGCCTAATGTTCGCAGCCTCTTTGAGGAAGGAGCGGAGTAGGGGATGTTGGCCCAGGGGTTCACCAGCGTTGCCCGACAGTATTGTTGAGAAGGCGGCGATCTGCCTACGCAGTGTGTTTGGCGCTAGGCCTCTCTCTAGGTCACCTAGTAGGAATTCCAGAATGTTGGGAATTGTGAGCTCTCTGAGGGACAGGCTCCGTTCAGAGCACCATGCCTGAAAGCTTTTCCACATGGTTTCATAAATACGGTTCGTGGAAGGGCGTCTGGAGGCCTGGATAACCCTGATTACTCCCTGTGAACAAAGTCCCCTTTTTAAAATTGACCGTTTAAGTGCCAAACGGCTAGTTGTAGCCATTGTGGCTCTGGGTGTAAGATCATCCCATGGCTGAGTGAGACTTTCTCTGGGGGAATTCGCCAGGGATTCGTGTGAGAGAGGCTTCTCAAGTCTGCGAACCAAGGTCTCCTGGGCCAATATGGGGCCACTAGGATTATCTCAGCTCGTTCCTGGAGAAGTTTGTGTATTACGGCTGGGAGGAGAGGCAGGGGGGGGAAGCGTATAGGAGGCCCCTCGGCCATGGACTCCGTAACGCATCCGTCTGCTCCGCTCCCACAGATGGGAATCGGGAGAAGAAGCGAGTCAGCTGGGCATTGGACGGGGAAGCGAATAGGTCTACCTGAGGAAGGCCGAAGCGGTGGCAGATCTCCTTGAAGATCCTCGGGTGGAGGCGCCATTCTGCGTGATCTACTGTTGACCTACTCAATAGATCTGCCTGGGTGTTTGTTTCCCCTGATATATGGTCGGCCTTTATTGAGGCCAGGTTTTGTTCTGCCCATGTCCCCAGTAGGAGTACTTCGGACCATAGGGAGCGGGAGTGCGTTCCCCCTTGCTGATTTATGTGGGCTTTGGCTGTCATGTTGTCTGTTAGGACTAGTACGTGGCGCCGTGTTAGCCTGCTGTGGAAGTGGATGGATGGCTCGAAGTTCGAGCCAGTTTATGTTGTGACGGAGGTCCACTGTGGACCAGCGGCCCTGTGTCCACCTGGTCCCGAGGTGAGCTCCCCAACCGAACAGGCTTGCACTGGTCGTGAGTACTATTCTGTCCGGCTCCCTGAAATTGGAGCTTTGAATAGGGCTGGCGATAGCCGCCATCTGAGGGAACATCGTACCTGTTGTGGTAACCCTACCCTTCTTTGGGATACTCTGAGCTCCTGCTTCTGGAACGGAAGCATGAACCATTGTAATTCCCGTGAATGCAGTCTGGCCCATGGGACAATTGCTATGGTCGAGATCATTTTCCCTAACAGTTGGGAGAGGCTGACCAGCGTTACCGACTGACGTCGGCGTAACTGTGTTATTGCCTCCCTTATGCTGTTGCGGCGTTCCTGGGAGAGGTATACCTTGCACTCCACTGTGTCTATGATGGCCCCGAGGTATAATATTCTCGTTGACGGAACCAGGTGGCTCTTGAGGAAGTTCACCAAGAAGCCATGATCCTGTAGCAGTCTCACTACTAGTTTGAGGTCCGCCTGGGCGGAGCGGGCGGACAATGACTGGATTAATATATTGTCCAGATAGCACTGAACTCTGACTGGTATGGTCCTTAGATGAGCTGCCAGGACCGCCAGTATCTTGGTGAACACCCTGGGGGCTGATGATAGGCCGAATGGGAGAGCCCTGTATTGGAAGTGACGTCCCCCGTAAGCGAACCGTAAGAACTGGCGGTGGGTCAGAGAGATGGGGATATGTAAGTACACCTCCGTGAGGTCAATAGACGTCAGGAGGTCCCCTTTTCTTACGCTTCCCAGTATGGAACGCAACGTTTGCATCTTGAATTTGCGATATGCCAGATGGAAATTTAGGCCTTTGAGATCTAGAATAGCTCTCCATCCTCCTGATGGTTTGGGAACCACAAACAGTATGGAGTAAAATCCCTGACCTCTCTGGTCCAGTGGTACCGGTTCTATGGCTCGGATACTTAGTAGGTGTTGAACGGCTTCGTTCATGAGTTTCTTCTTTTTTTGATTTCTGGGACAAGGACAGGGGAGGAAACGGTTTGGTGGCTTGGAGAGGAATTCCAGATAGAGCCTGTGGCGTGTGGTGTTTCTGACCCATACGTCCATGGTGGTTTCTTCCCACTGATGGGCAAACTGGGCAAGCCTGTCCCCTATGGGAAGGGTTGAGGAGTCATCTGGAGCGACGAAAGGGACGGTTGTTCCCCCAAAAGAGCCGCCTTCCCTGCGCTTGCTGCTTAGGCCTTGGGTTTTGCCTTTCTGTTTGTCTCTCCTGCCTATCCTGTCTAGCCTGAAAGGGCTGTGCTGGCTGGGAGTAGGTGAATCTGTTTTCTGCGTGAAAGGAATGTTTCCTTCCGAAGTAACCTGGTTGTCTCTCCTGTCTCTTGAGAATGTGTTTAAGGACCTTGCGTTTGTCCTTATTCTCCATTAGATAAGGCGTTAGTGCCTCGCCAAATAATTTGGCTCCCTGCTACGGGGCAGATGCCAGTTTCCATTTGGATTTGGCATCGGCCTGCCAGTGTTTTAACCAAAGCAGGCGTCTGCCCATAATGTTGGACGCTATTGCTCTGGCTGAGAACCTGGCCGCTTGGAGTATTGCGTCTGACGCATACTCCGTGGCTGCAACCATTTTGCTGAATTCCTGTTGGATACGGATGTCCTCTACAGGGACTCGGCCTTGCAATTCACGCAGCCAGCAGAGTGCGGCTCTGCTGAAAAAAGAAGCAGAGGTAGTGGCTCTAGTAGCCCATGTTTTTGCTTGGTGTGTTCTCCGGTAGGTGGACTCGCATTTGCGGTCCTCGGCTTTAAGGGCCTCTGAAAAATCTCCTGATATGGCAGTGTCTGATACTAGGGGCCCTAAGGGCTCGTCTACCGTCGGTATCTCCAACGCCTCCTCCAGTTCCTTAGCTACGTTGTATAGCCTCTTATCGGTCTTACCCGGAAGGGGAAGGGAGGCTGGTGAGGTCCATTGTTTCCGGACAGCGTTTAGGAACAGGGCCGGACAAGGAATGCGGTGTTGAGTGGTTACCTTTTCGGCGAACCTGGGGTCTGCCTCCGCGTCGGGAAGGGCTGGTTCTGCTGGAGTTCCCTGCCTGAGATGAGCCGTGTATTCGGCCTTACGAAGTAGGGTGACAAAAAGAGAAGGCACCTCAGGCAGGTTGTCTTCGTTCTCGGACATTTGAACCTCCTGCGATGTGCCTGGTTGGTCAAGGTAAGAGTCATCGGAAAGGGATGACCCAGAAGGGGAGGATGGGTCTTGTTGGTCCTCCGTTTCCTTCTGATGGCCGGATCTGTGTCTGGCCGCTGCCGGCATGATGCTCTGGGCTCTGGCCTCGAGGGCACGCTCAACCGCTTGCCCTATTAAGGCCGCTAGCCGGTCCTCTGATGGAATAAGAGGGGCCGAATTCATTTGTGTCCCCGCTGTCGTGGGTGTGAATGTGGCCTCTGGAGCTCCTTGTGACCTCTCTGGCGAAGAAGATTGGGATAGGGATGAGAATTCACCTGTCCCGCATCTTGCTGAGGACTGGGATGATTCCCCTGTTGACCAGACCTCCAGAAGGGATGATGAGGCCCCCAGAGGTAACTCAGGGGCTAGGTTCCCATTCTGATTCTTCTCTATTCTGACCTTTTTTTGAGCCCTGGCAAATTCTTTTTCTAGGGCTTGGTGTCTCCTGTTTGCTTGTTTGTCTGCCTTCCTGGACAACTTTTTTGTAGATCTGGCCTTAGAGGCCGTTGTATTGTCGGAAGTCTCTGAACCGGGTGCTCCTGACCTGGAAGGCAGGGCTCCTGTAGAGGGCATGAGAGCTTCCTCCATTCTCCAATAGCGCAGGGTCACGAGAGGGAACCCCAGTAATAGGAGAGTATACCAGCTGAGTAAGGACAGACGCACTACAGGGGGCGCCTGGAATCCAGGTACAGCCTCTGTGTCTAGGCCCAAATTGATGGCTGTGCACGGGACAGGCACACTAATGGGGATGCCTGGAACCCGGCCCGGTCTGCTGCAGATAAGGACAGGCACATGATTTGGGGTGCCTGGAATCCAAGCAATAATAACCCAGATACATACAGGTCCACTGATGGCTTACCTGAGGTCCGGGTGGAGCCAGATAATATTTTTTTAAATTTTTTTTTAATTTTTTAAATTAATTAATTGAATTAATTAAATTAATTATTAGCAATTAATTTTGTTTTAATTGATTGTAGTTGGAGAGACACCAAGTCCTGGAAGAGAAGATGCTATTTTTCTATTTACCTTAATGCTCTCTGCTATCTTGCCTATTCTTCTTAAGCTTTCTCTGGTCGGATTTCTCCTTTCTGTGAGTGACGGGGAAATCCCCCCCCCAAAACAGCTGATGCTGCCTGGAAAAAACTCTCCGCATGCGCAGTAGCTCCTTCTTGCTGTGTGATGCCACGTGCACTAGAACAAAGGGACGCGCGTGCGCTGAGCAGCTCCGACAATGGCGGTCCTTTTAAACTGTCGGAGCTCTCCGGTGAAGACGGAAGGCAAATTCTCCTGTTTTCCCTCTGTCAGCTGTTCCGCGCTAGGGCCTGAGCTTTCCCTGCACTTTGCTCTCTCTCTTCCTGCACCTCCCCCCCCCACAAACACCTCCCAAGCGTGCTTCTGCCGTGGAGCTGCAGCCGCAAGCTCCGTCCGCGCTGCTCAGCTGATCCGGCTGAACGGTAAGGGAAGTGAAGGGAGCTAGCTAAAGGGAGAGGAGTAAGGTAGAGGTAAGATAGGTAAGATAGAGAGGAAGGGAATTCCTTCCTCTCTATCAAGGGAGACTTCCCCCGTGGGGTTGTGAATTTTAGGCTCCCTTGAAATTTTAAAATTTAGAAATTTAGTAGGGGCCAATTAAACAGAATTTAATCCTTGCTACCAACTCTCAGCTACTGGGAATAATCCACCAATGGAGAGAAACTGTACCTGCCTAAGAGCCAAGTTGCACATCTGAATGCTGGGTGAGATCAGTCAAGACTGGGAATCTTGTGGTCCAGGACGGGCGTGGCAACTTTGGCTGACTGATCTGATTGGGCAGGAATACAGTCTCAACCTATTGGTGGATTATCCATCTTCAGTGCTGGAGAACTGAATGCTACACCTTACAGTCCAATTATAGTCCATGCTGCCCAGTCATGATCCATACTCCAGATCTGCCTGCTACTATATTCTAATTCAGGGATCTTCAAACTTGGCCCTTTTATGACTTGCGGACTTCAACTCCCAGAATTAGGAATTAGAAATTCTGGGAGTTGAAGTTCACAAGTCATAAAAGGGCCAAGTTTGAAGACTCTTGTTCTAATTATAGGATGGAACATCTAGCAAATTTTTTTTGTGTTGATCTACCGAATGCAGGTATTACAATATTACATTCATACCTGTAAGAAGGTCGCCTAGAAAGAATTTCCCTTCGCTTCTGGGAGTCAGTGACACTGTCCACAGATTCCTGTGAATCTTCACTTTCTGCAATAGTGGAGATCTAGATATAAAAGCATAGTAATGTTATGCTTTTAAACATTATTAACAAGATACTATTTGAAAATCATAAAAAGATCTTTTATGTATGTTTGCAGAATCAAGAAACAGAGATTGCGTATTAAGCAAGATAATATTATTTATTTAATTTAATGAAAGTTTAAGAAAAATTAAGGAACACAAAAATTAAAATGGAAAAACAATGATCTTTTGGGATATGTATCAGTTAAAACAAAACACAGTATCTCTTATGCAACTGCACAAAAACTGGCTTAAGTAATCTGATTCTTTGGTGATCATATTCCAATGTAGCTGCACTTTAAATAACCCAATCTTTAAAAATATTTGCAGGATTTTAGATTTATTAAAATCCTGTCCTGGTAAATATTAATATCAGAACAAAATAGAAAGAAAATTATTTCTGATGTTATAGTTATAACCAAGAGCTATAGTTATGCTATTTGCCTATTTCACTTATTCACATCTTTAAGAATGAAAGTTCCACAAAATTAATTAAGATCTATCTAATCCAGCATCAGGATTTCAATCATGATCAGCCAGATATTTAAGGAAGGCAACCACAAAGCAATTTGTATAGTTCCTGTTTTATACTTATAAATCAACAAAATGATGGAAACTTATTTAGGAAGATACCAGACTTATATTAAATATTTAGATTTTGCCATTTTGGAGAAGTATATAAGATTTTTATTTTAAACCAAAAGTGAAAACAATTTTCTTACTTAGGACATATGAACTAATTTAAATGACTAACTAGTCCTACACAAATATGGAAATACATTATCTCTTTCTTAAAATAATTTTTATGTAAGTTTTATTTTGTTCTTGTTATAGTGATATATTAACTAGATAAATACAATTAATAGAAGCATGTGTGTATGTAGGTTTAACAATACAAAGATATATTATTGTTAGCAGGAATTAATATGGTTACTATTCTTGCGATGGACTACATATTCTATCACAAACATTTTCAACCTGTTATTTCCTCCAGGGAACATTTTGTATATAAAATGAAGATATGATACAACTTGTTCTTAGTATTTTTAATCTGATTCAGAAAGAAAACTTTATTGAGAAAAACTTTGACAGAGGAGACAAACCATTTTAGCGATGAAGCTCCCAAGTCCCATCTGAGCACATTCTGAAGTAACTTTTTACCCTAACTAGTGTGTACAGTATATAGTCTTCTATTAGAGAAGTCACAATTCAAATTTAAGACAAAATAATAATTAAACTTAAGCAGTATGGATTATCTGTGGAATAATAAAAGAGGACTATCACAAGACATTGTTTAGAACTCACATTCATCCTGCTATTTTCAATTTTTTTTATTGAAAATAAACAGAGAAAAAAACAAAGTTATAGTTTGTTTTTTCCTTACAGATAAGGAAAAAAAAACAACTGTCAGAAAAAATAGACTTACAAATAGTTAAGAAAGTTAAATATTTGGGAATATGCTTAATGGCAAGATGTGCAACAATAAAAGAAGATAATTATATAAAATTACTAAATCAAACAAAATTAGATTTGGAAAAATGGAAAAACTTACAACTATCAGTGTTAGGAAGAATAGCTACTGTGAAAATGAATATTTTACCAAAATTCCTTTTTTTATTTCAAACAGTACCTATAAAAATAGAGAAAAACTTTTTTGATGATTTGAATACACTGATCTCAAAATTTATTTGGCAAGGAAGGACAGCCAGAATTAAACTGAAAACATTATAAGAAGCTAAAAAAAATGGAGGATTTGGACTACCAAATTGGGTCTTACATTACCAAACATGTGCTCTAACATGGTTAAAACTTAGACGGTATGAAAAGAATAAAACCCATAGATGTTTCTAAAACCACTACATAGATGTTTCCAAAACCACTACATAAGAAATGCATTATTATTTGTATAGGGAAAGATAAAACCAAAAATCTATACGAAAATCCCTGGATGGCTATCAACGATGGAAGCATTTGTTCACCCAAACTTAGTTAAATTTGAGAAAATTCTAACATACAAGGATACTCTGAATACAGAAGGGAAATTAAAATCTAAACAAGAGTTAGAATTTCAGGGTACCGACTTATCATGGTGGCCTCGACTGCAAATGCAATCAAAGTATGATAAAGATGTTAAAAGATATGGTTTTTATAAAGACCAGACAATGTTTGATCGGGTATTGCTGACTTCTGATGAAAAACTGATTAAGAAATTGTATAACTTTTTATTGAATCTGAAAATGGAAGACGAACAAGTGAAAGAAACAATGATACTATGGGCAATTCTTTTGGATACAATATAGAATATTGTATTGTAAATATAGGTATTTCTAGATGCTGAAAAAGCTTTTGATCAATTGAATTGGCAATTTATGTTAAGATTAATTGAGAAAATGAACTTTGGAGAAAAAATTTTACAAGCTCTTGGTCTTATTTATCAAAAACAAACGGCACAACTTATTGTTAATGGGGGTTTATCAGAGGTTTTTACAATAGAAAAGGGGACTAGACAGGGATGTCCATTGTCACCATTGCTGTTTGTTTTAACTTTGGAAATATTGTTGATTAAAATTCGAGAATCACAGGAAATAAAAGGAATAGAAGTTAATAAAAAAGAATATAAATTAAGAGCTTTTGCAGATGACTTGGTGGTTACCCTGTCCCAACCTACTTATTCTGTAGTAGAGTTATTACAATTGATATACCAATATGGATGGGTTTCGGGTTTTAAAATTAATAACAATAAGACTAAAATATTACCTAAAAATATGACCAATTTGGATAAGCAGACTTTGGTTAAGTTGACAGATTTTGAGGTTGTTGATAAGGTAAAATATTTGGGGGTTACTTTATCTGTTTCTAATGCAAAATTGTACAAAAATAATTATGAAAGGTTATGGGTCAGGATACAAAGAGATTTGAAAAATTGGGAGAAATTGCAATTATCCCTTTTGGGAAGAATTGCGGTGATTAAAATGAATGTTCTGCCAAAGTTCCTTTTTTTATTTCAAATGATACCTATCTTAAAGAATGAGATTAATTTAAATGAATGGCAGAAAGGTATCAATAAATTTATTTGGGCGGGGAAAAAACCAAGAGTAAAGCTTAAAATAATACAAGACACTTGTGAGACAGGTGGACTCAAGGTACCGAATTTGAAATTGTACTATGATGAGGTGGTTTTAACATTAATTAGTGATTGGGTTAATTTAACAAATGTAGAAATACTCCTCTTGGAGGGTTGGGATTTACTTTTTGGATGGCATGCCTATTTAATTTTTAATAAAAAAGTTGATAGGGTTTTTAAATCTCATATTATAAGGATTTCTTTATTTCGGGTTTGGAGGAAATATTATAGAAGTGATTTTAAAATCCCATTATGGGCTATACCTTGGCATGCGATAGAGGGGATAAGGAGAGGAGTTAAGATGGATGGTGTTTCTTATGCACAATTACTTAGATGGGATGGTAAAAACTGGCAGTTAAAATCTTTGGAAAATCTAGCACAAGAAAATATTATATATTCATGGTTTCAGTACAGACAAATAGTGGACAGATGGAAGTTAGATTGCAATGTGGGTTTACTTAGAGAAGATGAAAATTTTCTTAAACAAGTAAAAGACCAAAGACGAACTCATATTAAGAGAATTTATGGGGTGCTAGTAGAATTGAATTCAGAGGCAGAATTAATTAAAGAATGTATGATCAAATGGGCACAAAATTTTGGTGAACCAGTTCTACTAGATACCTGGGAAATTATTTGGGTGAGGAATGTCAAATTTACACAAGCCCAGAATTTAAGGGAGAATTTTTATAAAATGTTTTACAGATGGCACCTTGATCCACAAAAAATGTCTCGTATCTATCCTGACTTACAGCCCAAATGTTGGAGATGTGGTTGTTTGGATGCTACTTACTATCATATTTGGTGGTCGTGTAAAAATATAAAAGCCTTTTGGATTAAGATATGGTGGAATATTCAAAGAATTTTTAGAAGGAGGGTAAAATTTACCCCACAATTGTTTTTATTAGGTATTGTTACTGACTGTGATATTAAAGAGACCACACTGATGTTAAATTTAATTACAGCCGCAAGGCTGCTAGTAGGGCAATGTTGGAAGAAGGAATCTCTGCCTACTTTGCAAGAGTGGTTTTTTAAAGTTTCTTATTTGGCGGAAATGGCAAAGATTTCGGCTTTCTTGAAGGATCAATCGCAGGAGAAGTATTTTGCGGTATGGAAAAAATGGATAGATTTTATACAATATAAGTTGGATATTAAAAAATACTATTTAGTTTTTCAATAACTTATATTTAAAATTTAAAATATTTTATAGATTTTATTCCTTTTTTATTTTTATTTTTTATTTTTATTATACTTTCTTTTATCTTTTTCTTCTTTCTTTTTCTTTATTCTTTTTTCTTTCAAGTATTATTCTTTTGGTATTTATGTTTTCTTATATATATATTATTGTTAATTATCTTATAGTTTGTTTAATTAATGTATTTAGTATTTAGATTTATTCATGGTTTATATTTTCTTTTAGATTATTTGAAGAAATTTTAATTAAGCCTATGTTCAGCTCTGGGAAGGTCGGGGGAGGGAATGGGAGGGTTGGGGAGGTTTGGGGATGGGTTGTTTTGTTTTTGTAAAATTTTAAAAACTTAATAAATATTTACAATAATAAAAAAAAATATAGAATTAGAGAAATGGCAAAATCTTTTGGAAAAAAACTATAAATTGACAATGGCAACTTCATAAAGAAATGTATATAAAATGTTTTATAGATGGCATCTTCCACCTGTCAGATTAGCAAAAATGTTTAAAAATATGTCCAGTACAGCGGTTCTCAACGTTTGTGTGACGGCGACCCCCGTCACACAAATGTTCTGCGCATGCGCGGCGGCGCCCCCATGTGCAGCGCGCATGCGCGACGCCGCCCCCTGAGGGGAGAAAATGGCGGATCGCCTTCTTTGGCGACCCCCGAAAAATGGTCGATCGACCCCAAATGGGGTCGCGACCCATAGGTTGAGAACCGCTAGTCTAGTAAATGCTGGAAATGTAATCCAAATCCTGGTACATATTATCACCTGTGGTGGACATGTATTAAAGCAAAAATATTTTGGACAAAAAAACATACTTGGTTAGAAAAGATGTTAGGGAAACACATAGATTTTAAACCTGAACTTTTTTTATTAGGCATAATAAATAATAAGCCTAGGACTGAAAATCAGGCTTGTCAGATGCTATATTTTTTTCTATCCTGCTCTATGGAGTAGAGAATTGGTCTCTGACAGAAGGCTACCTGAAGAGACTAGAAGCATTTGAAATGTGGATTTATAGGCGACTGTTACGTATAAGCTGGGTTGACAAGATCAGAAATGAGGAGGTGATAAGCCGCCTGGGAAAGCCAAGGGAAATCATCAAAACAATTAAAAAACGAAAATTAGAATATTTTGGACGTGTGATGCGACACCCAGAAAAATATGGCATACTCCATTTAATCCTCCATGGAAAGATTGAAGGCAAACACGGTCCAGGCAGAAGAAGAACATCATGGCTTCAAAATCTAAGGGACTGGTTTGGACAAAACTTAGCAGCACTTTTTCGTGCGGCTGCTGATAAAAACAGGATCGCCAACATGATCGCCAACGTGCGATAATGGATATGGCACAAGAAGAAGATAATTCCAGAAAAATTTGATAAACAAAGTGTATGTTTAACATTACATGTATTAACAGCAGCGAGAACTGTATTTGCATAGCACTGGAAAAATGAAAAAACACCATTGGATGAAGAGATAATCAAGAAAATACTGGACTGTGCTGAAATGGATAGACTTACATTGAGAATCAAAGAAAAAGAAGACACAGAATATTTTCAAACATGGAACTTATTTTATCAATGGCTGGAAAAATGAAATAGAGAGTAAGAACTTAACTTCTATTACTAAGCAAAAAATTAACCCAAACACGTTGTTCATTAAGCACTAATGAATTATAATAACAGAAAATTAATAAAATACTTTTTTTTAAAAAAAGAAGTCACATTCATAAAACTAAATTGGTACATCATAGGTATATATATGGCTAATATAGCTCAGTATAAAGCAATTTTCCAGTAGTTCTATGTTTTTGTGCTAATTTTAAAAATACCTTCAATTTACCTGAACTGTCTGGACTTGCGGAGACTGAATAACCGATGGCTGAGCAGCTTGAATAACACCATGGACTTGAACTGTCTGTCCATTAGGCAACTGCACTAAGGTCACAGTGGGAGCAGATGATGTTGCATGAGCTGCAGGCATGGATACCTAATGAAAGAGTGACACATTTTAAAAACATTTAATGTCAATGTAAGAATAGGAAACTCCCAGTTGGCAGACCATTTGCAACTCCTAAATGACTCTTGTGTGGCTTGCCACAGGTTCCCAGATCTCACCAGCTGCCTATCTTGCACCAACCCTTGTTTCTACCAAAGTTCCTAAGTTAACATTCTATTCCAGTTATATAGTCAGACTTCGTTCAGCAGATATATTTGGATACAATATTTGAATCACTTGGATAAAATTAGCTATGATTAGCTTTTGTAAGAAATCTAGAAATATGTACCTACAATCAGTTATGTAGGCTTTCCTTTGATGCAATTAATATCATTAACTTTATGTAGCTAGATCTATAAAATTATGAAATTTCCAATATGCAAAAAATTACTACCTATTTGTGACATGCTACAGGGATCCTGCAGGAATTGTGAATGTGCACATTGTTCATGATGAATCAGAAGTCATCATTTTAGTTTTTCGTCAGACAGAAACATCCAAGGATGTGAATATTCTTTTGCTTTGTACAGACTTAGTACTAATAAAGCTAATTGCAAACCAGTGAATATTTTATTTTCAAATCCCTAAAAATCTACTATATTTTTCATATAAGTGTTCACTATTAGGTTGTGCAATGTACTTTTGAACAATTTACTATTCTTACATTTGAAGCATTTGCTAGTCATACTCAGTGAGAAGTTATGATCAGTTGATCATATAAAGTGCTATGAAAATATTAGTAATGGTTATTAGAATCAGAATATTTCTCTAACAGAAGGTACAGTAAGTCTAGCAGTTATATAATACTCTCTGCATTTTCCCACTCTAAATTTTCCTTCTATCCCTTGCTAGTCCAATCTATCCCTTGCTAGTCCAATCTATCCCTTGCTAGTCCAATTATACAGGTAGTCCTCAATCTACGACAATTGAGCCCAAAATTTATGTTGTTAAATGAGAAATTTGTTAAGTAAATTTTTGCTCTTTTACAATTTTTCTTGCCACATTTGTTAAGTAAATCATTGCAGTTGTTAAATTAGTAACACAATTGTTAAGTGAATCTAGTTTCCCTATTGACTTTGCTTATCAGGAATTCTCAAAAAGTGATCACATGACTCCAGGACACTGCATCCGTCATAAATGTGAATCAGTTGTCAAGCATCTGAATATAAATCATGTGACCCTGGGGATGCTACAACAGTCATAAGTCTAAAAAATGGTCATAAGTTGCTTTTTTCAGTGCCACTATAACTTCGAACGGTCACTAAACAAACTGTTGTTTAAATTGAGGACTACCTGTATAGGCAAATTTATATAGGTGAATATTGTTCTCGTTGATACAACTATTAAGAAAATAATTATTTTTTGTCTATTCACAATATATTGAAAGGCTGTGTTTGACTTACTGCAATTAATGGGATTTTAAAAGCCTTTAATTGTTTCAATTAAAATACAATATTACAATTCTAAATATTTAAAAAAATAAGGGATGGGTTTTTTTTTGCTTTTTGCTTTGAATGGGAGCCACAAAATTAACTTAATAATTATTACCAAGGCTACTTCTTGAATCTACAATGTGTCATTAAACACTACAGGGCAACTAGCATATTTTTTATTGTACCTGACTTTAAAAAAAAAAGAAAGAATGCAAGTATTCTGTAAAGCAAATTGCCAGTCTCCATGCTCATCTTTATTTCCAAAACTACCTCTTAGTATCAAATAGACCCCATAAAATGGTGAATAGCTTTAATCTGAAATATGCCTACAGAGTTGGAAAAGAATAAAACTATGTAGAAGTAAGGATTACATAGGTTGGCAGAGTGTATTTTGGTATAGTCATGCTTTACACAGATGCATAAAACATTACAAGTTAAAACATTCTCAGATTTATGTGACCATTTTGGACATTTTGAGTTTAAAATATCCTTATGTCTTTTTCCAAAGGAACAAAATAGGGACTTTTACATTATTTTAAGAGTTTTAAGGTTCTAAAATTGACTTATTAAATTTACTGTTTAAAATATTTTTAAAAATATATTAAATAGCTGATGCTATTTTCTACTGATTCTAAAAAAGTATATAAAATGTGTGTAAAATAACTTTAGTGCTTTAAAATGTATTATTTCACTATGGCAGGAATTTTGTAAATGAGTGTCCTTACCACTAGCCTCCTTTGAAAATGCCATAAAAATGTCACAAAATTTCCAATTTGTTCATCAACCCATAAAGTTGCAGATTCCACAGATGGGAAATAAATCAGTCTGTACAAATTTGTACCTGGGCCAATGTTGCAATTTGTGGTTGTGTCTGTACAGTCATCTGTTGATTTTCTGCCTCTGTAACAGTTGCATCTCCACTCTGTTGGTTCTCTGCACCAGATTCCATGGTCATTTAGTTATCTATAATGATCATGATCATCATCATTCACATGTAACAAATAAAAAATATTTATTATAAAAATAATAAACAGATATTTATTAGTTATTATTTTGTTATATTAAAATTTTTCTTCATTTACACAGAAGTAGTCTTGATTTTATGATTGATCGTTTAATGACGTTCAAGCTTACGATGGCCTAAGAAAGGATGCTTTACAGCCTGTAAAGTACTTCTGACCATCGTAAACGGTTGCACCAACCTTTCTCCCCAAATCACATGGTTGTCATCAGGGTTTAACAATCTGTTCACACTTAAGAAGGTAAGTGTCTTGCGATCACTTGACTGTCGTTTTTAATCTTCTCTACCACTTGTCTAGAGCACTCTCTTTGGTTATAGAGGCTGGTTGACGAAAGCTGAACTCGTTCAGTGGGGTGGAGAAACCAACTTAGATCCTAAAGATCTAACTCCATTCCTGCACCCTGCTGAAAACATTCCCTTTCACACTTGGGAGGGGAGCTGATGTACTTTCTGATGATTTATGCTCAGTTTCTGCACCCCATGGAAGGAATTCCCTTCTGTGATAAAGAAGAGCTGATATCCTTCGATAGACAGTTCTTTCAACCAACCCTAGAAATGAGAGGGAGAGAATCTAAAGTGTTTCAGCTCAAGCAGTGAGGCAGCACAGTAACATAAAGGGCGGGGAAGACTACGCATGAGTGTCTCTCCCTCAGGATTTCAGCAGGGAAGATTTTCAGCTCTTGAGCAGAGCCTCCTAAAGTTTCCCTCTGCCAGAGACATCCTGGACTACAGTTTGCTTAATGAACCATGCAATCACTTAAAGACCACAGAGAGGAGTGCGGGGATTGCAGTAATTGAACAAAGCAGTCATGTGAATAGTCACATGTCTCACTTAATGACTGCTTTGCTTAGCAACCAAGACTCCAGTCTCAGTTGTGGCTAAGCGAGGACTGCTTTTGATCATAAATTAATTACTGCAGCTCTGCACACAATTGGATTTAACACTACACAAATAATACACAACTTTGCATTTATTTAGGAGTAAATTCAAATAAAATCAACCGCATGTATTTCCTACAGAAAACCTTATGCAAAGTAACTGATAGAACTTGGCTCCCTGTCCTGCTCCTCCCTTGGCAACCTCCCAATCAGAGTCCTTGGAAGATCAGAGGACTGACTGAGTTAAGTCAGACATGATGCAGGGTGAGAAGGAAGAATCAATTATTTCCAGAAGTTGTCTCTGATGATTTTTCTAATCTTGCTTATATGAGTTATTTTCTATGTTATATGTTTTATCGAAGAGAAGACTTAGCATAACAAGCAATCAAATTAAAGATAGAAGTAGCATAAAAATAAATTATGGAATAATAATTGTGATAAAGGTTTTTGCCAAAAAAGTTGCAACAAAATCTCAACCAAGAGTCATGCTAAGATTTGAAGGGTCTAGTAATTAAAAATATTAAAATTATCCTTTTCTCTTGATGTGGATTTTTAACAGTAATTCTCCTCCAAACAATAACCTAGCTTATGTTAAAACTTGCTATTATTAAAATTTAGAGATTCTACCTTGCATGACAATATGAGCATTCTGGGTTCTGGTTGCACAAGTGACATTTTGGCCAATACACGCCCATATTGGCCACTTCTGTTATAGTTAAGCAGGAAAAACTACATGTGGCACAGCTTCAACTAAAGCTGGCAATCCATTTTACAAAAAACATTATGGAAAACCTTGAGTCTATCATGAAGAGTGAAGGAAACAAATATCTACGGGTTTACCTAGTGCCAACTGTGTATAAAACACTCCTTACTTAAAATGTAAGGAGTAAATGACAGCACATGAATTAAAAAAAGAAATGAAAAATACTTGTATGTTTGGGGAACTAAGAGAAGGAGGAAGATTGTAACAGATATTAACAAACCCAATTTGATCTTGTGATGTATAGTTGATTAGTACATGCAGGGAAGTAAACCTATAAAGGTAGTCCTTGACTTATAACAGTTCATTTGGTAACTGTTCAAAGTTACAACGGCACTGAAAAAGATGATTTATTACTGTTTTTCACCTTACAACCATTGCAGCATCCTCATGATCAAAATTCAGATGCTTAGCAACTAGTTCATATTTATGATGGTTGCAGTGTCCTGGAGTCATGTGATCAGCTTTTGAGACCTCCTGACAAGCAAAATCAATGAGGAATCCAGATTCACTTAACAACCATGTTACTAACTTAACGCAATGATTCATTTAATTGTAACAAGAAAGTTGTAAAATGGGGCAAAACTCACTTAACAAATGTTTCAATTAGCAACATAAATTTTAGGCTCAGTTGTGGTTGTAACCTGAGGACTACCTATAGTGTAATAATGAATGACAGAGCTATAATATAGGTCAGGAAATAGGAATTGTTATTTAGAATGTTATAGCATATGTGAAAATAGAATTAATTGATTGGTGATAGCTGCATATTATACTTCAGTGAAAGGTCATGATGGGAGAAGTTGAGGTGGGTTTGGGGGAAAGTTCTGAACAATTATAACCCAAAGGAAATAATGATTCTGTGACATGAATGGATAAAGACAAGAAAGCAAAGAAGTGACAGGGCCATTTGGGGAGCCTACAGCAAATGAAGATGGTGTTCTGCTTCATGAGTGCTTGCTTATAGTAAGGGCATATCTCAAATTAAATGGAAAAAATGAGAAAAGCTCCTTGAAAGAAGCATAAAATGAAAGAGGCTGCAGAGAAGAAAAAATGCATGTAACAAGATTGATTGCTGCATAGTTAAAAATAATGTAATCAAAGCAACAGTTAAAATTAAGAGACAAATGAAATGCAGAATGATTTTAATGGAAATATGAAATTGTTACAGACATGAGACAAGAGGGATAACAAGACGCCCTTGGAATTATTGAAATTTTAAGGTGATAAAATGATCAGGGATGAAGCTGATGTGAAGGAATGTTGGAGAAACTATTTGGAAATTTGTATAAGAATGTATTGTATCATAGTTATATGATAAAATGATGAAACAAAAATCAATGCTATAAATACTAGTACTGAAGGAAAAAATAACCAATAACCAATGCTGTTAAGAATGTTGAAAAAGGGCAAGAATGCAGGTGCACAAAATCTCAAAATGAAAGAACTGTAAAGTTGGAATAGACCCAAATATCAACTAGTTCAACCTTTTGCAATTTGTGGAGAAAACTAAACTATCTGTGAGAGATGGCACTTTTAAAAAAACCCTCCAAAAATGAAGAATCTACAACTACCATAGGCAGACTTTTTCACAGCTGTTCAGATCTTATTAACAGTAACATTTTCCTTGTATTTGAATTTAAAACTTTATAGCTGCAACTTATAAGCAATATTACTGGTTTTAGTTTCTATGGCAATGGAAAATAGTTTCTTGCTATCTTCTCTACAAGTCCCTTTTATATTACTGAACACAAATACCATGTCTCCCCTTAGTCTTCTTTTCTCTAGATGAAACATCCCAAGTTCCTTTAATCTGTCCCCACAATAGGGCTTATTCTCAATTTTTTTGTATTAAATTTTCTTCTGAACCTATATTATCTAACAATATCTGTTTGGAAATGTGGTGCCCAGAATCATTTATAATATTCCATATGAAAGGAGGGGTGTTCTGATGCACCCCAGAACTGTTAGCAGATGTTGCACAATATGCCTCTTTTTTAGCTTGCTGTCGATGATGGCCAAGTTCTTCTCTGATGTTGTGCCCCAAGCCACCTTGACAGAATTGTTAAGTAATATTTTGTACACTTGCACATCAAATCACAATGCTTTGAAATGGTTACGTTTCAAAGATCAAATGCAAACAAAAAATTTCCATTTGGATGCCAAGGAAAACTATAATTTGCATAGACAACATTGAAATGAAGCTAAAATTCCGGATCGGGTCACTAACTTTATTATCACTGTAGTAGTAATATAATCCAAGCTGCAATACATTCACTGATCATAGATTATGTCTAGGCCCCAATTTAGTATATATCCACAATAATTAAATAAGTAAGATTAATAATTAATCATCCCATAAGCCACCCAGAGTTACCTTGTGATAAGATGAGCTACTAATAAATTTTACAAACAAATAAAATAAATAATACTTCATGTTTCAGATTCCCATCCTCTTTAGAGACAGCTTCTGATCCTCCTATTAAAAACTATTCTTGCAGATTACTGTTCTCTGGGAATTTTAAAGTTGTTAGCCTAACACTTCTTTATATCAATTGTAAATGTACTAAAGAATTGCATTGAAATTATTTTTCACTGTGACAAGTAAAAATTGTGCTTGGCTCATGACGACAAAATCCCCACAGAAGGGATTTAAAGTTTTAATAAGACATTAACCAAGTTTTAAAACACATTTTGGAGCTGAACTTAGCCTGTTCAAATTTTATTTATATAATAGATAGGGAATGTTCCAGCTTTGGAGATAGCCAGAATTCAGCAGCATAGGATATGGTTTATTTTCAGAATACACCATTTAATCTATGCAAGATTAAAATGATCAATTAGTTGGCTTTTATAATAAGCAGTATAGTACTGGATTATAGAAACAAAGTACAACTCTGCATAATTTTTTCTCCCTTTACAATTTCTGACATAATTTTAGTCATAATAGATAAGCTGAATTACCATTTAACTGCCATGATACAGTGTAGTTTTTGCCTTAGTTTCTACCAGGAGAAAGCATTTGTCTACAGATCAGACTAATTTGAGAGAGAGAGAGATCAATTCTTCAAGTGATCACTCTTTGGTCAACTTCCACAAAATTTACACTAGCGACTATAATCAGGGAACCAACCAAGAATTTACACTTGATGTGCAAGACTCAGATCAGCATGGGTTCCACAAAGTAGTCTTCCAGAATGACCCTATTTAGTGTGTTCAAATCAAAGCGATTAGCCAATTTCGTTAAATAAGAAATTGTAAAGCTGCAAGTCCCATCTTTGGCTGAACAGGAAAGAAAGACAA